TTCCATATCTTTTGAATTAGGACGCTTTTATTTAAAGTTAAGTTGTATGGTGGCGTTATCTACTGTGTAGTTTTATTAGATAATAATCTGTGTTATATTATTAACTAAATGCTGGGCAAGAAACATAAACAAACTGTTTATTGAGACACATAACCCCGTAAAGCAAAATTACCCTAATAAGCATTTTGAAAAATTCGTATCTTTTGAACGGGGCCGTCCGGGGTGAAGGTCAAAGGTCACATGGCTTCGTAACAGACCCGGTAATAATCCCTATAAGTTTCAGCTTGACCGTAGAAGACCGATACAAGTTATGAGCAAAACAAATTCCGTTTTCATACATTTGAAACTCTAAAGCCCGTGCTTTATAGTGTGAGATTAAAAGGAAATTCCCCAAACTATTTTATTATTCAATGTACTGATATGTCCAATAAAACCGCATACCTTAAACGGATAATAAACATTTTTATTTTTTCAAAAATCCTATGAAAGGGGACCTCTTTTTTTCACCCACTGTGCGCCGTGTACATACACAGTTACACACACACACACATGCAACGAAACTACGCCTTGGCTTCCCAGTCGAGCTATCCCGGCGCGCGGAGTGTGACGTAATAATAAAAAACAATATTTATTAGAGAAAATGCCGAATTTTGTAGTGAAAACGTGTAGAAACCAATCTTCCAAGAATAAAAAACAGGATGGAATCACATTTCATACGTAAGAAAAATTATAAACTAATATATTCAATTAATCAAAATCAAATTTGAGGTTATCGCTTTGTAAACAAAACCTGAACGAAATGCTGCCATGATTATACGTTACAGTTTTACCCTTTTGTTGGGTAGCGTGAAATATAACGTAACGTTATTTTATTAAATACATTGTGTAGCATACTTTTACATTATTCGAATATTGTAATGCATGGATAAACAATTACACGAAACATGTTTATTATCTTTTTTCTTTATGTATTCGTATAAATATTTTGGGATGTAATACACTTTATATATTATACGTTTTTTTTACAATTTCCTAATCGAGATTAAAATCTAAAAGAGAAGTGGATTGCAGTCATTCGTAAGAGTAGAAATGAACCATTGTGGTAAACAGCTTCCTGCAGCGTGTTTTGTTCGTCTCATTTTCAGAGCGACGATTTGTACTACACAACAAAAGGGTTACGTCGTGTAAAATAAAATGCATATCCAAGGGTATTTTTTTTACTTAACTTAATATAGTTACTTAGGTTAATTTATATTTTAAAGATTCCAATAATTCTTCAGTCGTGCAGACGGTTGAAACACAAAATTACACCAATTTTATTTCACAATATTCACTATGAACGAATTAAAGAATAATTAAAATATGACGCTAACCGCACTCCATGAAATCCCGCCAAAAACTCCAAAGGTTAAGCTTTGTTTTTATTATATATTTGTAACTAAACTTTTATTAGTGTAACAGTTATTAAACTTATAAATCACAGGAACCCCAGATCTTCAAGCGCAGGACCTTTGGCTCACGAGAGGTTGGATCTAGGGCTAGTGTAAAACTAATCTGGACTAGTTTAGAGAATAAGCCTACGATAGTATTTTCTAATATTTTATAACGTTATTAATAACGTTAGGAAATAACGTTATTAATTTTTTTAATATTGGGGTATTATAAATGACTATGGTAACACTGGCTAATGCACTACATACATAAAAAACCGGCTTCACTTTTTTGTTCGGCGGACTCCGTCTTTACTTTTTATTTGGTCTGAGTTAGGTATGTAGTTTTGTTTTTAACGCTAGTGTAGGTAGATTACTCGTTTGTCTCTTTTTTCACCCTAACCACTTATTTATATATTATTCCAGATGGATTTTGCCCGATGGAAAAATCGAAATACCTAAATATTAAAAACAAATTACGTACTAGTAGATAGGTATATAATAAAATATTCTAAAGTCTTACCTTTCCAATATTTCAGGTAATTTAAAAAATGATATCTCTGGGTGCGTTATTGAAGAGTTCAAGCACCCAGAAACAGCACAATATCGTCGAAAGTTCTGTTTCATACTAAATTATGTAGGTATCTACTTAATTCAATCAAATATTTACAATACTAAACAGACGTTTAAGCACGGCTAACTGCATAAAAAACAATTCAGACCGTTCGGTCGACGTTGCGGCGCAGCGGCGCATTCGCGACTGGGTGTTTCTATATATAACAATGTACTCTATGACTGGGTGCCCGCCGAGAACATCGAACTCGAGTCACAGCGGTGACACTCTCTGTACGTGAGAGTTCCAGCGGGACACGATATCGAATAAAAAGTATCGATACTGTACTCATGAGTAGTATCGGTGAAAAAGTATCGTACTCGTAAAAGTATCGATACCTCAAAGTATCGAGTACATTTCATAGGGCCTTATCGGAGCCTCTGTGGCCTGATGAGCAACCCCCCCCCCCCCCCCCCCCCCCCGGGTGTTAAAATTGAAAGAAAAGCAATCGAATGTTATTATAGTACGTATAATCAAAAACAAAAAAAGGACATGTAAATTCATAAATTGCATGTAAATTCATTAAATATTATAATATTTAATATGAAAAGAAAATAGCTGTGATTTCTGACACTAAAAAAGTGTTATTAATGTTACAGTCATAATTAAAATGTTAATTAAAAACAATTTAAAAGTATGAAACTTTTCAGATTTGTTTCAAATTAAACTTACTTTTCTTGAATTTTAATCATTAAAAAACATTATACCCACACGTAGTTAACGGCTGCCATTGGCATGCTTCACTCAAGATTATAATTATAGAAGAGGTTACGTCCGTCTTTTTTTCAGGTGGTTTCAAATAGGTATACACAGCACAGACAGAATAATAGTGTTACACTTGAATAAATCAAATACAGTCAAGCGAAAAGCACAATGAATAGCGAATCAATCACAGTTCCAAACAATATGGTCGCTAAATAAATAACTATGAAACAAAACAAAACAAGCAAAATAAACACAGTCACAGATTGGAAAGAATTTGAATATATCAGTTACTGACTTTATTACAACGCATTAGGGCATTGACAGTATTAAAAATAAAGTGCCAAAATAACGAAAAAGATATTAGGTTTCTTATCTATTGTCACGTGACCCAAAACGCTTGGGATTGGCGGAGCCTAAAATGACGTCACACGCAAGTAAACTTCCGGTCAAAGTGATATTACATTGTATCGTTTGACGTTTTAATAACAGTCGTGTGACGTCACACACTAGTAAGACGCCATATTGTCCAGAGAAACGTTTTCGCGACAACTTTGAAAACGGAGTTTTGATTTGGTTATTTTTACTGAAATACACGACAGAATGATGAATATCCACTTTTTGCGGACTCCATAAACATTAGTTAATGACGTGAGATCGTTGCCTAAACCTTGTCAAATACCCTATGAAACGTTTTAGAAGGTTTGCTATGATTTAACAAGATGGCGTTGCCATCAATATGAGGCGCTTATCCAAATTTTTAAAGGTATCGATACTTGCCAAAAAGTACTCATTTAGTAAAAGTATCGAATACAAAGTATCGAGTACAAAAGTATCGGTATCGAAAGGAAAAGTACTCGATACCACAAAGTATCGATACTTTTTTCGTGTCCCTAGTTCCAGCGTCAGTGACCTTGAGCAGGAGCGTGTATGCGCTAGGGTTGAACTTGGAATTTAGACTTGTGCCAATGAATATTTATGCATAGTAAGGATACTAAGGTAAATAATGAAGGATAGGTTTGATTTTATAATCAATTTTTAATCTTTTAATGTAGGTACTATAACAAATTGCTAACTTTTATATATTTTCTCCTTTTTCGATTCGTTTTATAATTCTTATTATTATCTAAATAATAATAAGAAGCGTGCAATGCAGTGCAACGCTATTATATATTATTATATAATAGCGTTGCACTGCATTGCACGCACAGACTGACTACGCTACGCAATCTTATTATTATTTAGATAATAATAAGAATTATAAAACATTTATAGCTAGCATCACTATATAGTTTGTGGCTATTATTTTTCTATTTTCGGCGACTGCCCTCTCCACGTCCAGCGCGCCGCGCAACGCCCCGCGTTGTGATCGAATAGCATGTTAGCCACGACGCGAATTTCGCTATTTGATCTTTCTGTGATTGCCACAACGCGTTGTGCGCGTTTTCATTAGAGCTATAACACGAATTTCGCCATGTGGATGTTTTACTGTGACCACAACGCGTTGTGAGCTATTTTCCGCTCACTGAACGTTTTCGATCTTTGAGCGTAACATATATATTCTGTGCTCGAGTGGCGTAGGTATGACTCGCTTTCCGACCGTTTGTATGAAGATAGAATACTGTATGATATTATTACCGTGCCCGGGTGATCTCAGCCGCGGAACCCCGGTTAGGCCGGGTGGCTAACAGGTGCGGGGACATGGTGAACTCCCTTAACGCGAAACGTAAAAAGCGTATTCGCACGGTTTTTTAGCGCTTTAATAGACTCCGCTATCGCGTCCGTGAGACTTGCTACGTGTGAGTTACGTTTGCTGGTGTGCCCCTTAAGGGCGCAGGTGTCTGCAGATAGAGGTTTTGCCTGCATTAACAAAAAAAAAGGTAAATACTATAACAAATATATTGCAGGTCACTCACGTGTGTGAAAACATTCGTGCATTGCACGGATGTGTGCGCGCAAGTGAAGGGCTGATGCCGGCACTTTACTTGGCTATTCGTATGTGCTATTTGTAAACTTGCTAACAGTCTGTCCTTATCATGCTTCCTAAGGAATGAAAAAGATAGACAGGTGACAAGTTAACAACTAGCAAACACGAATAGCTAAGTGGAGTGAATACATAACAGAAATTCATTCGCAAATTAGGCAAATAGAAAAATCCCAATAGACATAGAGGTTGGGAAATGCCTAATAAGTATACTTTAGGTAACATATATTTTATGTAGGTTCGCTGCAATTTATTATTTTAATATTTTCAGGCTGTTCCCACTGTAAGTAAAGGCGAACCTGCCATCATCGAAGAAATCCGCGGTAAGTCCTTACGTGAGCAAGACAACAAACAGTTAGGCGCTTTGCAGACGACGCGACGAGGCGGGGCGGGCCGGTCAATTTCGCCGCGAACGATAGCACAAAGTGAATCCTATATTACAAACGCACACAGAGGGCAAAAAGACCGCGCCGCAGCTGCCCGGCGGGCACTGATGGCGGCGCGGCATGTCCGCGGCTGCCCGCCGTGGATCATACAAACCAGTTTATATGCAGTAACGCAGACGGCGGCGCGGGGCGGTCAGCTCAGTCCGCGCCACGCGCTTTTTAGTGATGTACTATTCACTAGAACGAACGTCCTGAACTGACCGCCTCTGCCCGCCTGTGCTTTGTGTACGCGGCGCGGGCAGCCGCAGACATCGACGGGCAGACACGGTTTTTATTGCTTCGCGGACAAAATGCCCGCCCCGCCCCGTCGGCTAAACGCCTTAAAGTTTGATAATCAAATCTGAATCTACCAAAAAAAAGAAAAGTTGGATATAATGAAAGTCTAACTGTACGACATATCGCACGTCACAAACAAAAGGGTATTATCTTTAAAAACAGTGTTTTGAGATATCGCGTTTTGATGTTTTAAAAAATCATTGAAGCGGAACTAGGTACTTGATCAAATGATTAAAATGATACCTTGATTTAAACGTACATTATCCTTCTTTGTGTTAAGTAAGTTTAGTTTGTGTATCAATAGTAGTTTTTATTTTTAAAGTACTTTTATGAGACTGGGTAAAGAGAATACTCTATAAGCATTTCAAATGGCTCAAATGGCTCATATTAAAATTAAAACTTGTATCATTTTAAAATAATTTCGCTGAAAATAACATATAAAATAAAATTGAACAGGCCAGGGGGTATTATTTTAAATAAAACTTCAAACTTGTATTAATCCGAACGGGCAATATGGTATTAAGCTTAACTTAATTCTGCCTAGAAATTGACGACATGTGTTGCTATAATTCAAAAACTATTTCAAATTAAAATACAATTATCTTACCAGTTTATAGAGAAAAAAATGGTTTTGCCGACTTAATTCCCTATTGTTTGTGACGTGCGATATATTTACATGTATTGACAATGAAGAACTAGGAATTATATCAAAGTTATATCTATAAAACAATTTAAGAAATATTCTAGTAGTATACCTATACCTACTTATTGTACCTGTCTACGAGTTATCAATTAATCTGCGATTAATTTAATTATCAGCAATCCATGACTAATTTAACTTGACGTGTAGAGAATGAGCAAACATCATTATTATGATAAATTCCGCCTATCTGTATATTACGAATTTCTTTCAAAAACTAATATTAGCTTCTCCCATGTAGAATATATGGGCTTCATATACTTGTTAAGATAGTAGTTATCAATACATTGTTTGAAGTATACATTTTTGTATGCATCCAAAAAGGATAATGCAAGTATTGTAAATCTTTATATATATAATTCTTCTGTGAGTGTGTATGTCACTGAACTTCTCTTAAACGACTGGACCGATTTTGATGAAATTTTTTGTGTGTGTTCAAGGGGATCTGAGAATGGTTTAGATTCACAATTTTGTCCGCTGGACAACCCCTATTTTTTTAGGGCGGTACGAAGTTCGCTGGGTCAGCTAGTATGTATACAAAAAATTAAGTCATTGTATAAAATTTGTTAAATACATGTATTATACCTTGTATTAAACGAGGGGTTACAGAATAGGATGCAGCGTCCCGATCATCAAAGTTGTTATGGATCTATTAAGATGATGAACACCTGATGCACGGTATGAGGATGTAATAAACAAATTATGAATTTAATGGTGTTGGTCAGAATCCACGGGTCTCTCCAGAATCGTAGCTGGTTGGCCAGCGCAAGATGCTCAGATTCCCTACCAGATTAGTCTGCGTATGGTGAATAGCATCGGTGGAGTATCCTCATGCGGCGGGTCCCTGATACACCACCGATGGGTTATCACAGCTGCCCATTGCGTCGCCAAGTTAGTACCTTATATCCTTAGGTTCATTTCACCGGATCCTGATAAAGTTTCATAAAGTTCCTGATAGATATCTGCCATACCTGGACCTTTTGCATTTTCTCTAATTATTATTTGAATAAAAAACATAAAAGACAATAGGTAATACTAAACAAAACAATTTACAGAGTCATCAAAAAATGTTTGGGTTTCCACAGCAAAATATCTCATTTTGGGCCATTAATAATTCCTAGCACAGTTTTCATTTCATTCATTACTCAGTAAATAATGTAAAATAATGTAAAAACTAGCCAAGTCTCGATGGAGCTGCTTGTTTATCTCTAAAAAGTAATGAAATCTAGACAAAGTCGTACGAAGTCTAAGGTTCCTTACTGCGATTTCTTTATTATTATAGTTAATGTTGTGTGACTTGGCCGTTGAAGGGTACACAATGGTACAAAACCAGGTGCTACATGACACCATGTAGCTTGGCCACAAGAGAATATGGAGGTGCCAATTTCCATGAGGGTATTTTTTAGACATAGACCTTGGTATCACCGCCACTCTTAGTCCAATGCAATATATTTTGACCAAATTTTGAGCGAAATTAATATTTTAGTGTAATATGTTAGTTATTTATTAAGACTGTGTGAGAAAAACATTAATCAAATCTAGCTCTTCAATTCCGCTCATCTTTGCATTACCGCCGGAGTAGTTATGAATAATCATGCACTAATACTAGGTCACATACGAACATGCATCCTTTATGTAAACGCTACTTAAAGTGACGATTTAGGTTATTAACCATTCATAGCCAAAGCTCAATAAATAAAAAAAACACAAATCAATATTAATTTATCAATATTTGTTATTGTTTGTTTACAAATGTTTGGTCTTTATTCTAGAATTACCCGAGTGCTCAAAAAGGGTACCAAGATTTTTTTGCAAACCGTACTTTTGATGCGACATTTGACAGATGGAGGTCATCCATCATCATCAGCCTATTAATGTCCCCACTTCTGGGGCACAGGCTTCCCTATGGATGGAATAGGAAGATTGGGCCATGACCCACCACGCGGGCCCAGTGCGGGTTGGTGGGTGCTAACGACTGCAGATGCAGCCGGGACCAACGGCTTAACGTGCCTTCCGAAGCACGGAGGAGCTCGAGATAGTAAATTATGGTCACCCATCCAATGACCGACCACTGCGAAAGTTGCTTAAATTCAACGATCGCTGCGGAACGCGCTAACCACTTGCGCCATCGAGCTCCTCATTGGCTTTCCTATTCTTATTTGAATCGTGCTATACCTACTAATATAGTTTTCCTCCCCAGCCGGCACATGTTCGTGGTGCGTTTAGGCCTCACCAATCTCACCACGCCAGACATAATAGTAGAAACCAACCTCAAATATATCCATCCGGAATACGATGAGATCCGTGCTGGTGTCCAGACTGATGACATCGCACTCCTCGGCTTAAATCATCACATGACATACACTCGTAAGCAACTTATTCTACTTATAATGAAATAACTAATCAACTCTTTTACATCTAAAGAAAATTTTACTGGGAAAAGTTCCACGCGATCCAGGAAGCAGACGGCACTCGAACGGCGTCTGTCGTCAGAATTTCTCAGTCAGTGTGTATTCGATAAATTCAATGTTTAAACAAACTACCTAATCATCCAATAATTTTAGTGAATTCATATAACCTTCTTTTAAATTTATGTAAATAGTCATACTTCACATTTAAACATTCATCAAACATTGAAGTCCTAATTTCTTATTTATTCATGGTTGCAATACCTATATGGCATGTAATTGATGGCTGCCGGATTGATAAATGTGTTGAATAAATCAAACAGATTTAAATGTGTATACTCTAGCTGCGAGTCCGACGCATTAGCACAGCACAACTACTTAAAAGTACACAACATAATTTATAATAAATCCATTGATTCGCAACAAAAAATGTGTTGTAGGTTATATCCAACCAAGCCGGCTCCAGAACTCAGGACAGAAGGCAGAGAATTACCTAGGTAGACGGTTTGTCGTCAGCGGCTACGGGCGTACCGATGATCTTTGGAATGGTTAGTATTGCTTTTTTATTTTTTTTAAACCAATTAAGAGTGCGATAGACTCGAATAGAAAAAAAATGGGTGCGTGTACTTATGTAGGCGCGTGAGAAGTTATCCTTCTTTGGCATCGTTTAAAATTAGTTTTTAATTGCATGCAAATAATTAATTACAATAAATTAATAAAAAGTCTGGAAAAGGACACAGTCAATAAAGTTCAGTTTTAATTTGAAAAAATAAATAAATAATCAAAATATTCAATTAAAATCGCTACTGAATATAATTTATTAGAACATATGTGATTTGCACTTGTATGAAACTCAAACACGTATTCCGAATATACAAACTAGAAACATGTGGATAAATATTATAAATATGAATACCTATAACTGTTACTTTATTACAAAAAATAAAGATGTGGTTTTTGGTTCTACTACACCAATGGTCAAGAGATGGCGCTGTAGTCTCCTGAATCGCGCTTTGGTTCCGTTGTTCCAGATTAATAAATACTTTTTGTTACTTTATTACAAAAAATAAAGATGTGGTTTTTGGTTCTACTACACCAATGGTCAAGAGATGGCGCTGTAGTCTCCTGAATCGCGCTTTGGTTCCGTTGTTCCAGATTAATAAATACTTTTGATAGGCCTTCACAATGCAGTCGTTAGCACCCACTAAATAGAGATTCTATTTCTATTTTGTTGGTAGATTTTCTAATGTGCGGTAAACACAAAAGTAACGCATGAAGTTGGTCGCTACAGCGACCAACTTCATTATGTTAAAATTTTGTGTTACAGTGATGCGCACGCATCTTAAAATTTCACTCTCATCATTTTTTCATAACGCGCCTAAAGAAGTATAACTTCAAAAACCGATTCCCATCATCGGTATCAGGTTTTAACGCTTGAAGAATCTTGTCAGTGTTTGTTTGTTAAACAGCATCAATAGAAACAGAAATTATGTGAAATTTATAGCTGTCTCCGCGTTACATTTCATGATATGCAGACGGAGTATGCACACAAAGCGCCTTTATTGATTGATTATTATTAATTATTTCTTTATTATTCAGGTGGGACTGCTTCCGAAATCTTGCTATGGACCCACCTTCAAGGCATCACAAACGATGAATGTCGTCGCTGGTATGGCGGCAGCACCGTCATCCAGGCGCAGACAGTCTGTGCCGAGTCCTACAACCACACTTCGCAATCTTCCTGTCAGGTATACCATTATAATTTTCATTTTTTTAAAGCATGTAACTGCTTGATGTTTAAATCTAAAGAAAATATAACTAGAAAAAATTCAACGCCGACCAGGCAGCAGACGGGACAGCCTGGGTTTGCCGTCTTCTTAAAGGTTAAGGCAACGTACAATTACAAGCTCTGCAATATACTTTAAAGCGGCAAATCCTATCTCCGCTGGCCGTGGTGATGCCGTCGGGTGCTGTCGAAGGTACCGGAAGCGTCTTTGAGAGCTGTGATGGAACCTTGAGGCTTTTCTGTATGACTGTGGATGTTGCTTAACATCAGGGGTCTACCGCCTATCGGGATTGCTATGGCTATAGCTAGAGCTAATGATTTCGTTTTGTTATTTCTAACTGCAGAAGGTTTCAAAGGCCTCTTTTTTTCTTTTACATTGATTATAACAATATTAAAGAAAATGATTTATTTGAAAACCATTGGCGGTCAGATATAGCAATGCATGCATAGCAATGAAATCATAAGGTTGCTATAACCATAGCAATCCAGAAAGGCGGTAGGCACCCTGATGAGGAAGGAGTTTGGAGGAATTATGACTGCGCTGCGATGATAGAAGGTTGCTTACTGCTGCTGTATTCAGTCGAGAGTCACCAGTGTAGGGGCCGCGGATCCCGAGGTAACATCACCCAACTCAGAGGAAGATCTTCCGGTTTGGCCTCCCTTAAAGGCGTTGTGAGCGTCCTTGAGTCGTTCTCAAACCTTTGTCTAAACCTTATGTAATTTATATGGCTAAATGGCTGAAATAAATGAATTGAATTGAATTGTCGTTGTTTCTAGGGTGACAGCGGCGGCCCCCTTACCATTGTGGACGCTGATGGTAGGACCACTATGGTAGGCATTGTCAGCTTCGGCTCCTCAGCCGGTTGCAACAGTCCGTTCCCATCGGGTAAGTGTGTAATACTCATTTTAAAGTATTTTACTATCAAGACATCCAAAGTTTTTAGAATATCCTGCATATAGAGAACATCGCACGTTTCAACTGCCGTTGCGCCAGAAATGATGTCAAAATATAACTCGTGGGTATTGAAAAAAAGATACTTACTTAGATATCTATTATTTAAATGTAAGTTTATAAATCCACTGTAATAATAGCCTTGAGCGAATTATAGAACCGAAGAAATGAAGGTTGTGGTATCTTTGTTATTTCTGATATAGATGAATCAGAGCAGAGTGATTATCATAGGCTTAGAAATATTACTATAAAAATTACACTTAACCAAAGGGTAACACTGGATTCCAAACAGCGCTTTTCTTATCTGGGCTACTGCACTAACCGCACTGCTACTGAGATCACAATATACATGTCGAATTTATTCTAGTAAGTTAATACTTAGTAATAAAAGTAAGTTAGTAAGAAAGTAAGTTAATACTCAGTAAATGAAATTGCAGGCAGATAGTTGACATTCTAGAATATGTGAAAAAAAGTCCTATATTATTTGTTTTACTTGAACAAATTCGACATGACAATTCGAAAGCGTTTGACGCCCAATCAACCACAGCCCGAAGCAAGAAAAACGAACGCGCCGTGTACTCTTAGGCTCGAATTATATGCGTCCGCGCGACCTGGCGCGACCGAGCGGCCCGGCCGCTACACCACGACATCACAAGTAATTGTGTGTAACGATTCATTTAAATAGCGGCGCGGTCGCGCCTTCGAGCGGCGCCGTCGCGCGGCCCGGCCGCTCGTACGAGTTGAAACGTGTTCAGTTGTATCGGTGCAATTGAAGCGGACGGGACGCTCTTTTGTAAAGTGACCATGTTTGATGCAGAAATATTTATACAAAAAATAGAGCAAAAGCCTTCTTCTATTTGGGATGTTAGAAGTGCTGATTATAAAAATAGAGTTAAAAAATCCAATGACTGGAGCGAAATAGCTTCGTCAATGACACCGAATTGGTCGTCATTAAATGAACAAGAAAAACAAATTAAAGGTAAGAGAGAGAAGATATATACTTTATTATTCGAGTAGTTACTTAATTTGTGCCTAAATATATTTATCTTGCCATGGTAATCGACCTTCAGATGTCGAAAAGTAATTAGCAAATTTATCTCGTGCCTCTCGTGCTACTTGAGTCGTACCTGAACTCACCCTGTCTGCAGAAGGAATGACATTAGTAAGAGTATCTGAAAACCTATACCCATCACGTCTTCTAACGTAGTTATGAAGCACGCATGCAGTTTTTGTAATAAGAGTAGCGAATTTCGGCTCAACCATCATTGGTGTATGAAAAATTCTCCATTTGTTGGCTAGTATTCCGAATGAACATTCTATATATCGCCGAGCTCTACAAAGGCGGTAGTTAAATACTCTTTGTGCGTAACTTAATTTCTTTCCGGGATAAGGTCTCATAATATTTCTATGTAGTCCGAAAGCTTCGTCACCAACAATTATATATGGTAATTGACTTGCTGTTATCGTTGGGAAGGGTTGAATCCATCGGAATGTTTAAAGAATTATTTTTCAATTTTTTCCCAATGTTACTCCTCCACAAAATTTGGCTGTCTCCTTCTCTGCCATATGCTCCGACGTCAATTGACGTAAACAAGTAGTTTGCGTCACAAACTGCTAATAATACAATAGAAAAGTAATGTTTATAGTTATAAAATAATGACCCACAATTTTTCGGATTCATAAGACGTATGTGTTTACCATCCACTGCCCCAATACATAAGGGGAACTGGGAGTTTTCATAAAATTCTTCTGCTTTTTGCAGCCAGGTTTGAGTCGTAGGTACCGGCATTTCCTGACTTGACAGTTTCAGCCAGATTTTCTTGCATATTTCGATTATTATTGCTCTGACAGTTGTATGTCCTATACCAAAATCTTCCGCCAATGTTTTAAAATCTTTTCCCGTTGCCAAAAATCTGAAAGTAAAAAACCAATTAAACACATATACATTTCCACAGGGCAAGAGCTTACAAAAAAATGGAAAAATATTAAGGACAAATATCGAAAAGCCTTAAAAGACATTAAAAATGTGAAGTCGGGATCTGCAGGAAATAAAATAAAGAAAACATACACATATTTTAATTTGTTGCATTTCTTACGGCCTGTATTGGACGAAAATACTCTAGAAAGCAATATCCCACCAGAAGAAAATTCTAGTGTTTCTGCGACTGACACCGAAAATTTTGAAATACAATCTGCAGAACCAGAAAGAATCGTAGATCGTGAAAAGCGTAAGAATCAATCCAAACGCAAAAGTAATGACGAATGCGAACAAGAGCTGTTGGATATACTAAGGAAAAGGAATTCTGTAGATGAAAGAACGTTACAAGACGAGGATGTTTTATTTTTATTGTCTTTAGCCCCGACACTTAAAAAAATGACACCGCTGATAAAAATGCGTACTAAAATTGAGATTTTGACCTCAATCACGAATAATATGTCTGAATCACCTGATGTTCACACAAATTCATACATATTTACGCCGACGACGTCGTCAAATGGATATACCACTGCTATATCATCGACCAATACTACTAGCACACCAACATCAAATGCACCAACCACATCGCAGTATGAGAATAATACTACGACATTGACAACCTACGAGCCAACACCTATTGCCATGTCCAATTCCAACCTTCAATCTACTTCTGCACTTTCTTGTTACTCAGATATCGACTCTATAGACACTATAATAGATGATACACTAGACACACAAAACATTTATTTTAACTAATTGATTGATTTTCTTTGCAAAATGCTTAAATCAGTTAATAAATATTATTCTTACCTTAGTGTGATTGTTATTTTTTCTTCTAAAGAAATGTAAGTTCGAAACTTTATGGAATTTTCTCGCAATGCCAAAACTAACTCGTCAAATGAGTTGACAGACATTCGATAATACGAGAAAAATCGATCTGCGTATACTCTTCTTCTTTGGTATCTAATGAGAAATTGATTGGGATACAATCTGTTGATAGGATGTATCCACCATCGACGTCGGCGTTGGTTTTTCCTTCTTTTTAATGTTAAAAAATAAGCAATGATATCAGTATCATTTTTTTTCATTTTATCGTCACGTCTATTCACCTCAAACACTAGAGAACGTGTGGGACGTGTGAGACGCTTGGGCCGCTTTATATAAATCAAAAAGCGACTTGGCCGCGGTCGCTGGAATCTGCGGCCGAACCGCTCGGTCGCGCGGACGCATATAATTCGAGCCTTAGCCTAAAGGTACCTACTCACGACGCGATTTTCTCCCGCGCCCGTGGCGGCTGTGCGATTGCAGCTTACGTGGAATGTTAAATTCTAGGTAAAGTAAATCGCAAAGCGCGCTTTTTCGGTATCCGCTGCGAGCGCGCGCGGGACACGATCACCCGCTGAAACAGCGGGCCTGGCCCGCGCGTTTTGCGATTTTTATGCGGGTGGCCAAATGGCGTACTTTGAATTCAAATCCTGCGGGCCCGCAAAAAACTGCGGTCTCGTGAGTTTCGAAAGAAATATTTTTCCGTGAGATCTTAGGTGAACAATGCACGAGCCGCGAACCGCGGCGATTGGCGGTCGCACGGAAGTTAATTTGTATAGGCATATAGGTACGAAAACGCACTGGCATCCGCGTTACCGTGCAGGTGAGCCATATAGCATTAGCATCCCTCCAACCGCAATCCGCCACGGTTCACGGCTCGTGCGTATACGTGCGCACTTACTTAGCTTAAGCAAGAAGTCTTGTATGGATATTTGAACAGCACCACAATAGATTTAAAAATATTATATACAAAACTTCTTGACATTGACTTCAACATTCGAATACGTTATTGTTTCGTGCTAAGGGTGGCGTGCTACTGGTGGCGAAAAATGCTGGTTCGAATTCAAACATCAAACTTTTTACATTGGATACAATATTCATATATAAATATGTCCTTACAGCGTACGTGCGCCCTGACTACTACCACGAGTGGTACAGGGAAGTGACTGGCATCGACTTCGACTGGAGCAGCGAGGACATCGTCCCTCTACAGCCAGAAGAACCCTCCAAAATAAATTTTGTCTAATTAAATTAACAAAATAATGTTGAATTCAGTTTGTTGATGATGAGAATGTTGAAATATATTCAGTTTCAATTATTACTTATTTTATTACTATTTTGTTTTTTAATAAAATTTTATTAAAATTTGTATCACCACACCACATCCATCTCTGGAGGCGGACGTGTAATGTTGCATCTCTTTTTACTGATGGAAACACCAGGGGTGATGGTTTCCGGAAAGGGAGTCGATAACCTTTTATGATTTTTAATGGTAGATTGTTTTGAGACACGTTTTGCTGAGCCACGTTTGACTGAGAAAAACCTGCCGTTTGTGACTTGTGTGATTGAATTTTTTTTTGGAAATATTTACTTTGAGGGTAGTTATTATAATATGATCCCACACACTGAGGTGACGGAAATCGAAAAGTCGTCAGTGAAGGGGCGTGACTAGCCGGCTATGTAATACTATAACTGGAAAGGAAATATTGCCTGGGTTTCAGAAGGTTAAGTAGTTGTCTGGACGGCAGTTCAAACGTCCCAATTAATTCACTATTGAGGACACCAGACCACAAGTTAACACTGAAACGATGTTGGCACGTTGAAGCTCTCACTTCGTGTGGATTTTCAGTTGCCCACGTGTGGTAACTATGAATATTAAATATTGCAGATCGCTCAAATCGTGACTCATCTGACCATAACAAAAATCCAGGCTCCTCTTTGCTCTTTTTGTAACATTGTTTGGCAAAAATCAATGCGCTATTGCCGGTCTGTAGGAAGTAAAGCTTGTAGAACGTGTGGTATCCTTCATCGTGAAGAAACGCTTGGATAGAAATCCTTGGGATGTTCAGAGTACGAGCCATACTTCACGTACTCGTGGACGGATTTCGCTGAACTTCTTCCAGCACCATTTCTCTACGATCCGGGTCAGCTCTAGGGATTCCTTCACGACTGCCGTGTCGACCAGTAATGCGGCCTGCCTTTTAGGTATTGTGATGGTCGGGAGTCACGACGTTGAAGTTGTTCGCGATACAATCGGGCTGCTTAACGGCCGTTTCCTCGTGCAACTCCATAAAAATAATACATTTCTGCATATTCACTTAACGTGTAACTCATCTCTTACACTTCCAAGTAAACAAAGTCCAATTCAAAATGCAAAACACAGTCCAGTAAACGAGCAAAATAGTCAAATAAGAAGGCAGCGGGGTCCGTGGGCAAAGCGAGTATGGTAAAGACAAAATAGCGGCACTAGTAGCAATAAAAACAAAGTGAGAACAACTGAGGTAATTTGTTCTGCGTTGGCTTTGGTTGCATGCTGCCCATCTCCCACTGAGAATCAGAGATATGGCAAGAATTCTGTTTCTTATATTCTCGGTCCATTGCAGTTAAAAGAGTTGCAGCCACGTTTACAATAAAAAAAACTTAAAGTAAAGAAAATAAACCTCGCAATGTTTAAATCCTAGCTTTCGTTTCCTGTAGTAATTATTGGGTAGTTAACAAACTAATTAAATATAGGAACGATAAAATTACCAACTTTTTTTTTACAAATGGCTAATTTTAAGAATTTTTCACCTCACTGTCTTTGTAGCCCCCCTAAATATTTTTTTTAATTTTTATGAAAGCTGAGTGTAGAGCGTATTCTTAAGGGCTACTTAGGAACCATGACGTCACCTGTTTACATTTTTAATTTAAAGGTGAAAATTTAAATCATAATGCAACGAACGTAAATTTTTCACTTTGGATCAACATTTTCATAACTTTTATCAAAGTTACAAAGCTAATTATTTTATGCATAAAAGTACAACTTAAGATAATTCAGTTGCAAAAAAATACGAAAAAGTCTTCCACTTTTTTTTAGGGTGATTATTCCCGAAAATTCTGAAAAAATTCATAACTCGAAAACTATAAAAAAAGTCGCGGAACATACATGGGGGTGATTCGTATACCCCACAATACGAGGGACCGAAATTTTTTTGACGTCAATGTTCCGGCCATCTGTATAAACCAGGCCACTCAGAAAGTTTATCGAAAAAAAAGGCTTTATGTATAAGACACTGGCCACTTGTAATTATTTTGAAAACGTGGATTATTTAAAAGTAAAAATGATAAATTTAAAAATCAAAAAACTCGACTGCTAAAATATTACTTCATATAAAAACTGAAAACAAGTCCAGTAGTCTATAATTCTGTTAAGTAAGGAACAAAGCTACTTTAACAGTCGGGACCCATTAGATATTCAAGAATGGATATTTTTTTTCTATAATGGGTCCCGACTGTTAAAGTAGCTTTGTTAAATTCTGAGATTTTCATTAAATTACAATAATCATAAATACCTATTATGATAATTTATTTTTCATCTTTTAATATGAAGGAACTGTATCACAGTTTTACTATAAGTACTTCGTATAGGATTAGATACTGTGACTAGCCCATTTTTTTCTTTTTCTCCTAGGTTTTATCTACTTTTATAAACACTGTAGGGAAGGCCGAAGGGGAAGATCTTCCTCCGAGCTGGGTGAAGGTGCTTGCTCGGGGGCCGCGGCCCGACTGATGTTGGTCGGGCATCGTATATATGAAGAGTTAGCCTCCGAATTTCATTTGCGCGATGTAGGCTTCCATACTAATAATGATCGCAGTGCAGGTAACGCCATCTCTTGAGGATGGTGAGGTATGATTTCCTACATCCGTTGTATATCTGTGGGGCATGTCGCCGCCACATCACTCCCCTCCGAGACCGGAGGTCGATAGTCTGTGTTTTTCAGCAGTCAGTGCGTCAGAGCTTGCAAGTGCCAGTGTGCTGCAGGATGCCCCAGTCTGCGGTGAGTCGAGACGGGTGGGGTGAAGGCGCGTCGCCAGTGCTGCAGAGTTGCTCCAGTCTACGGTGAGTCGAGACAGGTGGAGTGTGACGGTGGGTCCGAGCTGCTGGTGTGCAGGGCTGCCACGCCGGTGTGCTTGCGGCCGACAAGTGAGGTAGCGGTCGTGGGCTGCGGAGACCAGGTCGGGATGACGTCGAGTGCTGCCGAAGGTCCAGAAAGCGTCGTTGAGAGCTGCGATGGAACCTTGAAGCTGATGCTGGCTTGCTGTGTGGCTGCTGATGTTGCTTGACCTGATGAGGAAGGGGTATGAGGTTTGGTGGCTGCGCTGCGATAGTTGAAGGTTGCTTCTTGCTGCTGCTGTGCTCTGTCGAGGGTCACCACTGTAGGAAGGCCAAAAGGGAAGAACTTTCTCCAAACTGGCTGATGGTAGCTAGGGGCCCGCGGCCCGACGCCCTATCACTTTTTCATCGTTGCAACTTTTTAAATATTTGTCGAAATGCCATAGTGTAAAAGGCAAACTTTATCGTCTATATATATCAAAAGCGATAAAAGTATTTATTTTGATAAAAAATAATTTATAAATACCAAATGTGCATTTTGGAAATGGACATCAAATAATATTTTATTTTAGATTCACTATTTTAGCGATAATGGCTTGTACATTAAAAATACATATATGATGTAGCGGAATTTTTTTTAGAACTTTTTAAGAGATACATTTTCACTTTACATTATATTCATGTAACTTTTATTGTTTTTGCAATGCAGGTCGAAATGTCTCGCAAATGGGAGATTTTTTCCGTCTTACGTGACTCTTATTGTTATATTTTGGCCAATTTACTCAATGACTACATAAATTATTATCTATATGTTATTATCATGTATGAGCTATACATATTATTGTAAAGTTTCATTAAAATCCATTCAGTATTTTTTAGGTGAAACAGTAACAAAGATCCATGCAAACGTAAGATTGAAATTTAAAAGCGCAAGTGGTTAGTATACAACTTTAAATCGTTGTAGATCCTAAACAGTCATATAAAATGAAAAATGGTGTAGGGAGTCTAAACATGATTTTCGATTATCTAGACAATGATACCCCACTCGACATATTTCGTCAACTTATTTTTTTTACTTCGTCACAATATGGTGCCGAATTGTCCCTATATTAAATTTTGATTATCATCATATCTTTAGTAGCACTCCCATGATTAAGACGAATCGATTGATGTATGAATCATCAAAATCGGTCCACGCGTTTGGTCTCTAGTGTGCCACAAAGGAACAAACACATATAAAGACTGTTAAACACTATACCCTGTCTTCGCGTCGCGCTTCGCGCTCTTACATTGCGCAGTCGGGTAAAAATACCACTGTTCGATTTTCAAATTTCCCTCCGCATTTTTTCGAGAGCCAATTAAATTTTTCTTGTCTCATTAAAAATGGATCTGCATCGAAAACATTTTCGTGCTATGATTTTTTACAATTTCAAATGTGGCTTATAACCTGATGAGTTATTTGATCGGTTCCGAACTGCTTTTATGGATGAAGGACCTTCAAAAGCAACCATCTACCGCTGGTGTAGCGAGTTCAAACGCGGTTGTCTTACTTTGGGGAATGAACAAAGGAGCGGTCGTCCTACGACGGCTGCCACCGAAGAAAGTGTGCTGGCAGTAAAAAAATTAGTTCAAGAAAACAGACGAATTACGTACGAAGAGATTCATCATACTTTGTAGATTGTTTCAGGAAGTGTTCACAAGATTTTGCACTAGCGTAAGGAGGATAGTTTCCCGAACAACCTCACCGAAGCTCAGAAGCAGGCCCGTGTGGATTGGTGCAGTGATATGATACAAAAATTTGATGCAGGCTCGTCACGGCGCGTTTACGATATTATGACAGGTGACGAATCCTTCAAAATGAACCAACGCCTACGAAAGTGAAGCGATCGAGGATCGCAGGGAAAATTTAGATCGCTTGTTTCTTCACTTTAACGGGGTACCTAATTTCAATTCCATTTCGAGACCAAAGCAGCATCAACGCCAAGTGAAAATGCCTGCCAGAAGTTTTTTCTGCATTAAGAAGTTGAGTCGAAACATTTTATATTTGACGCAAGTAAAGTAGTACGTACAGGACTCTACGCACTACCCATCTTGCTGCTGGATCCAACATGCGGAACAGCGTGATACGCGTAAAAGAGATAGAGATAAAGGATCTCTTTTACGTGTTACGTGTAGCGCTGTCCCGCATGCTGCAACTGACTCTCCAGCGCCACCAGTACACTCTCGATCACGCGAGTAATCAGATTTTTTTGTGATGATACCTATTACTTAGCCAAGCCAAAAGACGACGCAGACGAGTACAGAATACAGCCAAGGGGCGTACTCAGTCGTGCGACGACGGCAGAACCGCCTCACGTAGCGCTGCGTTGCGCTGCTCTATGAAATGACATGAAATAGCACGTGGAGTGGAACGTCCGCTCCGTGCTCCCGCTTATGGGTGCGGCCAGAGTGCACTCAGATTCAGATTCAGATTCTGAAAACAAGCGCGAGAAATAAACAGTGTAGTCTAAGCAGGTTGCCTGCTTTTTCTCGCGCTTTGTTTTCTGAGTCTGAATCTGAATCTGAGTTCACTCTGGCCGCACCCTATGGCAGCGGAGGCTCATAAATAAGCGCACTGAAAAATGTGCCTATGTATTCCTTACCCAAAGAGTAAAGTAATACATAAACGGAAATCCTAAACAAAACAAGAGGATTGCCATTTGAAAAATAATATGTGCAAGTGCAAGTTGTCAATGTCATTGTTTGATTGTTATGTCAGTGTCATGTCATTCAAATCAAAAACAAACACCGGAATTCTCGGATTCAAGAGTTTTTATTAGATATAAAATGTTTTCTGTTTATTAATTTCTTTAACGTAGTCGATGTTTTCTACTACTTAAATATGAGGCGCAGCTTAGCGCCTAGCCAAATAGGCGCTGGTGATGCAGTCTTCAAGAGTCCTTTGCTCGATTCGGCTAAACGTAAACGGCGCGAATGTGCAAGAATCCCTCTGACTCAAAAATCCGCCTCTCAAGCTATGTCTGCTTCAGAACACGAGAACCTTATACGTCAGATACTGAACAAACCTTTCAAGGTGCCAATTCCTAATTATGTGTCGTCGTATTGCAGCAAGAGTTTAGGTCTAAAGAGAAGTCAAGTAAGACGTGCACTGCACGATCCGGATGAACCGAACGCCCTGGTATTATACTGTCCACCTCATATTCCCGAACACGAGAAAATGAAGATGAGTCCAAATGACATAAGAGTTGCAGTTGTAGTAGACCCAGTTCTAGGCAATATACTTCGACCTCATCAGCGCGAAGGCGTAAAGTTTATGTACGACTGTGTCACTGGAAAGCAAATAGAAAACGCTTATGGGTGCATCATGGCTGATGAAATGGGACTTGGAAAGACACTCCAGTGTATAACATTGTTGTGGACTTTATTAAGACAAGGGCCAGACTGCAAACCCACTATTTGTAAAGCTATAATTGTTTGCCCCAGTAGTTTAGTAAAAAATTGGTATAACGAAATTCATAAGTGGCTTGCCCAAAGAATAAATGCATTACCCATGGATGGAGGCTCCAAAGCAGAAATTACATTAAAATTGCAACAATTTATGAACACATACTCGGCCACACGGGTAGCAACGCCTGTACTGATAATTTCATATGAAACATTTAGAATATATTCTAACATTTTACATTCATCAGAGGTGGGACTGGTGCTCTGTGATGAAGGACACAGATTAAAAAACAGTGAAAACCAAACATATCAGGCTTTAATGGGTTTAAAAGCTAAGAGAAGGATTTTAATATCTGGTACCCCTATACAGAATGACTTAACAGAATATTTTAGTCTTGTTCATTTTGTAAATGAAGGTATACTTGGTACCGCACATGAATTCAAGAAGAGGTATGAAAACCCTATTTTAAAAGGTCAAGATGCTTTGGCAACACCACAAGAACGAGAAAGAGCTCAGGAATGTCTGCAAACATTGACTTCTATTGTCAACAAGTGCATGATAAGAAGGACAAGTAATTTGCTCACTAAGTACTTACCTGTGAAGTTTGAACAAGTCATTTGTGTGAAAATGACTCCCCTTCAGACTCAGATATATAAAAACTTCATAAACTCAGATGCAATCCGTAACAAATTCTCTGGTACTGGTGAGAAGAACACTCTCAGTGCCTTATCTAGTATTACAACTCTGAAAAAGCTATGCAATCACCCAGACCTTGTGTACGATAAAATTATAGAAAGATCTGAAGGTTTTGAGAAAGCCAAGGATTTGTTGCCAAGCAATTACGACATCAAAGATGTCAAACCAGAGTATTCTGGCAAACTGATGATATTAGATTGCATATTAGCTAATCTTAAGACTAATACAGATGACAAGATTGTCCTTGTGTCTAACTACACACAAACACTAGATCTTTTTGAGAAACTATGTAGAAAAAGAGTTTACAATTATGTTAGATTAGATGGCTCTATGACCATTAAAAAGAGAGCTAAAGTTGTTGAAAGCTTCAACAGTAAAGACTCTAAAGAGTGGATCTTCATGCTTAGTTCCAAAGCTGGAGGCTGTGGACTGAATCTCATTGGTGCAAACCGTTTGATTATGTTTGACCCTGACTGGAATCCGGCTAATGATGACCAAGCTATGGCTAGAGTGTGGCGTGATGGTCAAAAGAAGCCTTGCTATATTTATAGGTTATTAGCCACAGGTACAATTGAGGAAAAGATATTCCAAAGGCAAGCCCATAAGAAAGCCTTAAGTGATACGGTTGTTGATCAAAACGAGGAGTCTTTACGTCATTTCACCTCAGATGACTTGAAAGATCTGTTCCGTTTAGAAGAAAACACACTCTCAGACACACACAGCAAATTCAAATGTAAGAGATGTGTAAATAACATACAAGTGACAGTGCCACCAGAGAATTCAGATTGCACTTCAGATTTATCAAATTGGTATCACTGTGCCGATAAAAAGAGTTTGGCTGATATAGTTTTGAAACAGTGCTGGGACTTGGCAAAGACTATATCATTTGTGTTTCATCACCGATCCGCTAAAACTGAAGCTAGGATTGAAGATGCAAAAGAAGAAGATAAGGAGAATGTCCAACAAAAGAAAAAGAGGAAACTTGAAATGGATGAAGACTATTCTGAACCAGATGACAGTGCTGATGAAGATTATGAATAACAACTATATTTTTTTTGTATTTATTATTGCTAAAGAAAGATAATTAAGTTTTTGTTATACTGTAGTAATAAGAAAACATTATGTGGAATTTACAATATAAAATCTATAAATAGAATTGTGTTATTAAATATAAATGAAAATACAAGTAGGTAACAGAAAAATATATATTATTAAGAAATCATAACAGTAAAATTTTATAAAAATCAAAAAAACTTACAAACATTGTAACTACTTATCACTTCATTTCTTGAATCATAATTCTAAACATATATTCATAAATGCTAGTATTTTAATCTATTAGCGGAGGGTGCGGGTTCGAGTCCCGTCTGCTGCCTGGTCCGTGTGGATTTTTTTTTAATAAAAATTTCTTCAGATTTAAACATTTATGTAGTAGCTAAATGCTAAAAAAATTAAACTGACATAAAGTCATAATTAAAATAATATTTAATCTTAGTTGATAATCATAAAATTAAAAAAGAAATATTTAATATTCCTGTCAACCAGACCCATATATTATATCAGCCATCCACTAAATTCATAATAACAAGAACAAATAATCACAGTAGATAATTATTTTGTAAGCTTACAATCAATCTTGGCAAACCTCTTGAGTAGTGACCAATAGGCAAGGAAGCCTGCGCGTAGCAATTTTACATACTAAAACGTTTATTGCACAAGGTTATTTGTCTGTGGTTCGAGTCCCGTCTGCTGCCTGGTCCGTGTGGATTTTTTTTTAATAAAAATTTCTTCAGATTTAAACATTTATGTAGTAGCTAAATGCTAAAAAAATTAAACTTACATAAAGTCATAATTAAAATAATATTTAATCTTAGTTGATAATCATAAAATTAAATAAGAAATATTTAATATTCCTGTCAACCAGACCCATATATTATATCAGCCATCCACTAAATTCATAATAACAAGAACAAATAATCACAGTAGATAATTATTTTGTAAGCTTACAATCAATCTTGGCAAACCTCTTGAGTAGTGACCAATAGGCAAGGAAGCCTGCGCGTAGCAATTTTACATACTAAAACGTTTATTGCACAAGGTTATTTGTCTGTGGTTTTGCTCAAGAAGTTTGCCGCTACCTAGGATGCCTGCGCAGTAGCAATTTTACATACTGAAACATTTATTGCACAAGGTTGTTTTGTCTGTGGTTTTGCTCAAGAAGTTTGCCGCTACCTAGGATGCCTGCGCAGTTGCAATTTTACATACTAAAACGTTTATTGCACAAGGTTATTTGTCTGTGGTTTTGGTCAAGAAGTTTGCCGCTACCTAGGATGCCTGCGAAGTAGTAATTTTACATACTAAAACGTTTATTGCACAAGGTTATTTGTTTGTGGTTTCGCTCAAAAATTTTGCTGCTACCTAGGATGCCTGTGCAGTAGCAATTTTACATACTAAATCGTTTATTACACAATGTTATTTGTCTGTGGTTTTGTTCGTTACACTAGTTTTAATTAGTTTTATGATAAATGTAATGTTTTCTGTGGTGTACTATAAAGTGTTTTGTACGTGTTGTTGTCTTTATTTGATTTTTCATTTACTTCAATAATATGTTAACTAGAACAGCTTAGTTTAAGGCCGTAAGACCAACTGGGAGGTTGAGCCGAGTACCCACGCTTCTCAGCTTCTTCGTTCACTACGAAAGGGTTTTTGAACAGCTTCATGAGGAATCTAACCTATAAACCAAAACATTAAAATAAATAACATTTATCTACCAAATTCAATATAATATGGAATACGCACTGCGCTAAAATCAGGGGGGCGGGGAGAAAAAACTGCGATCAACACGCCGATCATGGGATTGGTTGGAATTTATGTTTAATATTATCTTACCAAATGAATTGACAATCGAATTCATGTGCGGATATTTGATTTTTCAAAGTATTTTGTTTTGGCTATGTGCGTGTCCTGTTAGTGTTGAAGTTTAGTTGTGTGAGCTTGGAACCATGTTTTAACGGCCTTTCTTAGAGCGTAATGTTTCATTATCATTACTAATTCGTTGTTATCTGCTAACAACATTAACTATGAAAAAAATACTGTTTCTTCAATCAATTGTGAACCTTATATCGATCGAACAGGTTATGGCTTAAAATCGTCGAAAGTTTGTACTGTCTAAAATATTCTGTAGTTTAGTGACAGAAATTTCGTTTTCATAATCTCCTTACAAGAAAACAATTTTTTTATGTAATATAAAGTAGGTGCTCAAGTAATCTATCAGCAAAGAGGGTAGTTTTGAAAACATTTTCATTTATTCCAAACTTAGTTGCGACTAGAAAATTACCTCCTCTTATTTCACAGCAGTCTCATGTTATTTTTTGCTAGGACTCTTTAATCTCATTAACATACTAATTAACATAAAATTATTTAATTTTTTGCCAAGCATTCAAACCTTTTCAAAGTCATTATTTTCCGCATCAGCGATTGCCTCTTGCAGTATCCAATTCCTGGGAATATAAACCGGATTGACATTTGACATGCGCACGCGCCGATCTTCTTCTGTCACTGAAAATAAATATTTAAAATACAATCCACACATTAATTAACCTTCGTGAAGTTGATGGAGCACCAAAGGAAAGCAAAATAATAAAAATATACATAATAAGATAATGTTTTACCGTTTTCCTTATGTAATCGCTCCTGATATTTTGTGACCCACGCAGACCACTGTTTGGCTGCGGAAACCTTGGACAATGACCATTTCTCTTGCACCACAGTCTGATTCAATAATTCTTTCGGTTCCACCTGTAAAATTAAATAGGTTGACAAATAAAAATAAGTATAAAATAAGATAAAAAATATTTATTTCGGACAACAGCAGCCCATATCACCCATTAAAAACCAATCAATCAACTTTAAATTAATTTACAACAAAATAGACCGCCAACTTTACTGATTCTGACGAGAGTGATCCGGCTCGAAGGACCATTGATTTTTGATTTGATTTGATTGATTGTGCATGGTAAAAAAACAAACTGTCAGTAAATAGAAATATTTCTACCACTGGCGCATTCGGGTAGCGCCAAAGTTAGCTCTGTAAGGCTTGTGTAATGGGAAACTAGGATAACGGATAAAAATACATATAAATAATAAATATCCATATATAAGAATAAAACAAGCTACGATTTAGGTACAAAAGTTCGTTATTCGAACCCAAGCCCTCTGAGTGATACCCACAGAACACAGAAATAGGATAGAAGGGTGAACAAATACCGTTTGTAATGGGAAACTATGTCGCCGGCTCGCCCCCACCACACCTAATACATAATAGCCAATCAAACGACGCGTCAACAAACAATTGAACCAATCAGCGCTCACACCCGAGAGCCACGGCGCAATCAGAACTAACTTTTGGTCAAGTTACGAGCATTTGCTCACACTGTGGCGCGCCTGCCCCGCCCACAAGGCCTTCTAACCTCTTTCTGTATTCTGTGATAATACCAATGAACCACGGAGATAGATAAATGAATAGTGTAGTTACGTAGGTAGGTGGTAAGGTGTCAATAAAAGAGTCCAAATCCTCGTTGTGCGTGTTTTTAAAATTGTTCCAATTGCGCAGAAGATGAATAAGTATTCAAAAAGTAGAACTTACTGTCGCCTTAATTGTGTAGATGCTACAAAGATATTCATGTCTCTTAGGCCCGTATTACAGAATCACAACTAAGTGTTGATCTTTACTTGATTACAGTTAGAAAGGGATGTCATTATGTGATATATATAGCGACATCCCTTTCTAACTATCCTCAAGGCTAGATCAATCACTGAGAATCTTTCTATAATGCGGGCCTAAGAATCCTGCAGGAGCCTGAAACCTTTGTATGCATTACCTCTCCAAGTTGCCTGAAGGTGCATGTAAAATCTGCCATAGTCTGCTGCATTAACTGCAACAAGTCTTGGACAAGACCATCATCACCGTCGTGGTTTTCTTGCAGGCCCAATTTCAAGAGGTAGGTTTCACTGCACAAGAGAAATATTCAACTCTTAATAAATAAATATAAGATCAACACATGAGATTCCTGACAAACCAAAAGCTTGTTTTCTTAAAAGCATTCTTTAATGTTGCAAAATGCGAAATAAATACTTATAGTATGTAAAATGTCGTTTTTTCGACAGGTATCTGATAAATGTTTGTTAATTTAACGCATTTGAAGAAAATTTAGTTTTAATATTTTCTATAAACTGATTTAATAGAAAATATTTGTGATGTTCAAATGCATGGTCGGTAATATAGCCGTCTCTTTTCCTCGCGGTCCGTACCTGCTATATTGCTTACAGCGCATTCAGAATTGCGCGCAGAATCAAAGAAATAATTTCTATATTCTTCCGCATATAGCAATAAGTCGTAAAATTTTACGAGCTTACATCTCGGATTGTTATAACTCTGACGCATGCCTTCTAATTTAGTCCTTAAACAGTGTGCTTTAAATGTGATTTTTAATGTTTAAATAATGCCTTATATTGTTTAGACTACGCGATCATCTTACGGATCTCCGTGGGTACCAGCAATGTACCTTTTGGACAGGTTTCGGGCATGATTTTATTCGTGTTGGTGTATGTAGGGTATTTAATATCGTTGGTTGAAATAGATAAATTTGAATTGAATTCCAATACAATACGGTAAACTTTCGATTAAATTTAGTTTAAGCAAAAGTTAGAGTTAGTGAGGAGCTCGATGGCGCAAGTGGTTAGCGCGTTCGGCTGCGGTCTTGATGTTAAGCAACTTTCGCAGTGGTCGGTCATTGGATGGGTGACTAAAAGTTTACTATCTCGAGCTCCTCCGTGCTTCGGAAGGCTCGTTAAGCCATTGGTCCCGGCTGAATTTGCAGTCGTTAGTACCTACCAATCGTAGGGACATTAATAGGCTGTTGATGTGATGTGAAGCGAAAGTTAAGCTCTGGTGTGCCATTTGCATGTTTGCCACCATTTTTATAAAAAAAAACGGCGCGGCGAAGGGAATTGCAACCTGGTGCCGTAACACGTTACGTAACGAAGCTGTTTACACTCCCATAAGAAGTTATCACTTCAAAAAAAATTGTACATCTATCATCCATCAGTCCATGGAAACAAACTTGTTATTTCCTGAACTATTTATTACTAGCTGTGCCCCGCGGTGTTACCAGCGGTTTATTAGGGACATTATCCCGCAGTAAAACGCAGCCTATGTGTTAATCCAGGGTGTCAGCTAACTCCATACCAAATTTTATTAAAATCGCTCCAGCCGTTTAGACGTGAATAAGTAACAAACATACACTCACAAACTTTCGCCTTTATAATATTAGTGTGATATTTGACTTGACAGATCATGGACATATGACTCAAGAGATATTGCCACCCTGTGACACATAATGTTGTCATTTCATTACTTTAAAAAGGATAAGTAGGTCAGAAGGCATTTTTATCGAAAAAGTACTTAAAAGTTAATAAATGACGAAACAACATTATCATGACGACCTACGTGCCCGAGTGGTTTAACGCCGGGTTTCATGGTGTCGCCGACTCGAGAGGTCCCGGGTTCGAATCCCGTGGGGGCAGATGTTTGTGTGATGAATAAGAGCATTTGTACTCCAGTCATGGATGTTTAATATGTATGTATTACTATATAAATATACTTGTATATGTACAGTAGGTATATGTATTCTATCCGTTACCCTAGTATCCCATAACACAAGCCTTAAAGTGCTTACTTTGGGGCTAGGCTAATTGGTATTTATTTATTTATTAACATAAGCAGTGACTTACAGAACTTTCTTTCTGGCGTATTCCTCTAACGTGCTCCTGAACTCAGTGATTTTCTGTTTCTCGTCTTCTGACAATATGGGCTCCATCGCAGCGGCGAACTTCTCCAAGTTCCATAGGATTATCTGCCGGGACGCATTAAGTTATTTCTTAAATAATGATAACGATTTATTTAAATAGAATAAATCCTATAGAAAAGATGATACGGAAATGCGTCACGAGAGTGTGTGTGTGTGTATGTATGTGTGTGTGTGTGTGTGTGTGGGATGCGTGCGCAGCGCAACGAGCGTGAAAGTTATAGGATAATTCAGCGAAGACTTAAACGCTACGAGCGTTACACGCGCCAATATATATACATAAAATATATTATATGAGTGATACGTGCGCTGCTCCATTCCCCTATGCCTTATGCACCGCCTAATGTTAGGTTATTTAAGAAAAGAACTTTCACTTCAGATGTGTCGTCTGTGCACATTTTTTTTTAGTTTTGTATAATCATATCTGTGTTAAGAAACTTGGCGCAATAGGCTAGTTGACCCTTTTTGGAAAAAGGTTTTAAATGGTTAATAAATGTTCTATTAGACCGAAAAAAAATGTATTGTATTTTTTTTAAACCTAGAAAGCTACAAATCTTTAATTTTAAAATAGACTTTTCATGGACATACAAAAACGCTGTCGGCCATTTTAGTCTATAGATTGTCTATGCTATGACGTGAACTGTGGTAAACAAAAACTCGTAAACACGTAGAAAATTACTTTTAACTGAGTTTATAATAAAAAAAAAACATGATTTCTAATAAATACCACGAAAAATAATGTAATTATCATTATTGTATTGTACGAGAATATAAAAACACATCCTTGAAGACTCCATGAAAGTTGTGGATTAAAGTGCCGAAAGAAATTAACCTACGCAACTTTATTACACTTATTCATATGTTGTATCAGTTTTATGTTTATTACTACATTGTAATACTAAATGCACTGTACTTACATAGATGCCTTGTCGTTTCTCTGCTCCGCAGAGCAGAAATCGGGGTTTAGTGCAACAAATTCACCAACAATCAATGCGTCAATTCTTGGCACATTTGTGATTTCTGCTTTCACAAAGCCGGCATCCATAATTTGTTTAGTCAAAAAAAACTAAGTGTACTGTTTTTTTCTTTCCTAAAGTTAAAAGTGTTTTAAGATAAATTTAGTCAGACGAAAGAATCCACCTACAGTAACACGCGAATGACATTTAGTTGTTTACCACAAGAGACGTCAAAATCATGGCGAATGTGGCGAACAGCGTTTTTAGTGTTTAAAAAATATAGACTAAAAAATATTTTTTAAAATTAATTTTCTACAGCAATCTTCTGCTTTTATGAAGTGAAATCGATATATTAAGGTTCCTTAGACTAAACACTTTAAGAAATAAACATTTATTTAATACAATTCGACATGAGTAAACTAGCCTATTGGTTAACTTGGCGCTTTCGGTCTGATGGGTGAACAAAAATTTATTATTTGAGCTCTTACGTGCTTAAGGAGATTCCAGCTGAATTTTTAGTCATTAGCACCCACTAATCAGCACTGGGTCTGCGTCATGGTCCAATCTCCCTATTCCATCTATAGGGAAGGCTTGTGCCCAAGCAGTGGGTATAATAAGGCTGATAGGTATACGCACGAAGGAAGAGCTATTAAACTCCTCTTTCTCTTTCTATACTAATATTGTAAAGAGCTAAACTTTGTTCGTTTGTAGGAGATAATCTTTGATACTAATGAAGCGATATTAAAAGTTCTTTCACCAATAGAAAGTTACATTATTCCTTAGTAAAATAGGGTTTAACCGTGCAAAGCAAGCAAGGAGCCGTTCAAATATTACGTAAGCAGATTTATTACAATTATTTACCCCCTCCGCCCCCTTGTCAGCAAAAGTAAGCAAAGCTCTTACCCCCCTGTCCATGCTTACGTAAACATTGGTACCTATAAGCATTTTTCCTTTAATGTATTGTCTTTTTATTGATTCATGAGCTTTCATGAGCTTTATGGGCAGCAGTACTTAGATAGAGGACTTTAACGCCCATAATATTCATTCAAACAAACTTTATAATCTTATTATGTACTATTACGAACAAAACCAACTTCTTTCGAATTTTTGGTATCTTACATATTAATTCCAATTAACAATCTTCAGTCCATGACACCCGAATCCATGATGCTGACGTCATCACTATCTCGACCCCCCCACCCCCCCATGTCATCAAAAATAAGCAAAGCAAAGACCCTCCTGCCCCCCTATAGTTTTTACGTAATACTTGAACGGCCTCCAAGGCTGGGTCCATAAGTACATAAATACACAAACTATAAATACTCACCTCGGGTTGTTTATAATAAGCATATCTGCCCATGTCGTCCGAAGTGTTGGGTACATAGTGCCGATTGTAGTGATCTATGAAGCCGTACGGTCCGTAGTCTATGGTTAAACCTAGGACGCTCACGTTGTCTGTGTTCAAAACGCCGTGCGTAAAACCGTAGCCTACAACAAGGGAAAACCGAATCTATTGGATTCTACTAGAAAAGATCATTTCACTCACAAGGATCATGTCATTGCTGCTCCACATCGAAACTTGAATGAATCACTAAGTGAATTCCAGTCTCATCAGTTCACTTCACTAGAGGCAAAAGTACTACTGATGCTGGAACTGTACTTCTCAAACACATCTTTGATATATGGGAGAGTAAGCACGATGCTATTGGCATTTTTTGCGACTTATCAAAGGCGTTTGACTGCGTTAGCCATGAAACATTGTTAAATAAAATGAAGCATAATGGTGTATCAAATATTTCTCTAAGTCTGATACAGTCTTATCTTTCTGCTAGGATTCAGAAAGTAGTTATAAATGAAGCTGAGTCTACAGGAGCACCCATTTCTATGGGCGTGCCCCAGGGTTCAATATTGGGCCCATTGCTTTTCCTTATTTATATCAATGACCTTCCTCATTTTACAAGAGATTTGTGTGAGACAGTACTATTTGCTGATGATACCTCTTTATTGTTTAAAGCTAGAAGAGGAAATGATTGTTATGACGAAGTAAATTGTGCTCTCTCTGAAGTCCTTCACTGGTTTACGGTAAATAATTTAAAACTTAACTCCAGTAAAACAAAATGCGTTAAGTTTACTCTACCTAATGTGAGGCAGGTTAATACTAGTATAAAAATAAATGACCAGCCTGTAGAGTTAGTGGATTCTACAAAGTTTCTGGGTATTACTTTAGACTCTCGTCTGCAATGGGATCCTCATATTGATGCCTTGTCAAGTAGATTGAGCTCTGCAGCTTTCGCTGTTAAAAAAATAAGACTCTTAACTGATGTGGAAACGGCAAGATTAGTTTACTTTGGTTACTTTCATAGTGTTATGTGCCGCTAATATCGAAAGTATTTTCATACTGCAAAAGAGAGCTGTTCGCGCCATATACAATTTAAAGGCAAGAGAATCCCTTAGAGAAAAATTTAAAGAAATTAATATTTTAACACTGGCGTCGCAATACATTTATGAAAATTTAATATATGTAAGAAAAAACTATGTTGAATTTGCAAAAAAAGTCAAACCCATAACTTTAACACGAAATTTAAGAACAAGCTTGCCGTTCCATGTTTCAGACTCCAAAAATCAAGAGGTTCATTTCTGGGTTGTAGTATTGCATTGTTTAACAAAGTTCCCCAAGATCTGATTGAGCTTCCACTGACTGAATTTAAATCTCAGATCAAAAATACTCTTATGAATAGGGGCTATTATAAAGTTGATGATTATCTAAATGATCGTAATGCATGGACATGGTGTTTCTTATAATTTGATATTAAATGGGTATTATTCATTTTTCATAACAGTAATATTGTACCTATCTAATGCAGCTTCCTATATACTACTTAAAATGTTTACTATAAAATTAATTGTAACTATATATTTATATTCTAGATGATGTAATGGAAAGTGACTTCAGACGTATTTCTGAAGTAATTTTTCAACTTAACGACACTGTATATAACAATACAGGGAGAAAAAAACAGCCCTTGCTGAGTTTTTGCCGGTTCTTCTCAGTACAAGGTCTCGCGCCGTAGTTTTGCGAACCGATGGCGTAGCTTCTTGACCTTCACAAGTGCTTGTAACAGCCTAGACTGAATAAATGACATTTTATTTCATTTCATTTCATTTCATCATCAAATAAATATATTTTCAGAAGTCATCACCATTATTAACACAATACATTTATCGTTTTAAGTAATGTTGTTTTATATTGTTATTTTTCGTGTCTTCAATCATAGGTACTTATGTAATATTATCGTATTTTTGCAAATATGATGTCAACTAAAACTGGAACTTTGGGGGCTTCCCGAGGTTTTCGGACAAGGATTTGGGACAAGTCGCCATAGTAAATATTTTTCCAGATTATAAGACCTATCCAACGACACCACATTGATTTCTATTGGTGCGTGTACCAAAATGCCTATTCTCTTTTGAGCGATTATTTATAGAAAAAAAACGCAAATGTGATAAATAACAAAGCGAAATTAATTTTTCATCATATGATAATTTCGTTAATGATGTTAAAAAAATAATAAATAATAATAAGCTCGCATAGCGAAAAGAACTTTGCTTCGCTCCCACAACGCTGCTTGTGCTGAAGGCTAAATTACATGCGAATACCAGACCTATTATGTGGTTGAAAGATGAATACTTTTAAATTGTACTGTTTTATTATAAGTGGAATGTTTAATATACCTTGCCAAGTCGCCACCATGTCCAAGTTCTTCAATGCCACTTCGGAATACCACGCCACATATTTGTTTTGCTCGTTCTCGATGTGGGGATAGTAATGCTGGAAATTGATATATTTTGTTAGTTTTTGCGCCAGTTGGTATCATATTATTGCTAATTTTGGTGCGTTGATAAAGTTTACTTTTATGATTGAATAGGGTGTTTGCATCAAGGTTACAGGAAACACGGTAATGGTACTAAGTGCTTGTATTCAGCGTTGTCCTTGGGAAACTTAATTTTTCAAATGATCTAAGCCGGAACCAGCAGAATGCCAGAACGTCGCCATAATGTGGTCTGCTAAAGTCCTTACAGTATCCGGTTCCTTCCTCTTGTCCAGGATCTCCAAGGAGCCGAGTCCATACCACAAACATAGAAACATTCACATAACACTATTACCTTAAAGACGTAGTCCACTAAAGTCCTCATAGTGTCCGGTTTGCTCCTCTAGTCCAGGATCTCCAAGGAGCCGAGTCGGTACTACAAACATACACGGCATACGCTACTAAAGAATATTGCTACCTTAAATAAGTGGTCTTCGTAAAGTCTTTATGGTGTGAGCTGATTTTTGTTGTCTAGCTTTTTATAGGAACTTTGTCTATACCACATTATATATCTTTACGGCCGCCTGAGTGGGCTACAATAGGATACTGTTACCTTAATGACATGGTCCACTAAAGTCCTCATGGTCCCCGGTTCCTTCCTCTTGTCCAGGATCTCCAAGGAACCGAGTCGGTACCAGCACGGCGCCAGTCGCATCACCACAGCGGCGCGTTCCTGACGCGCGTGACCGCTGTACGACTTGTCCCGCCATACTTTGTGATCCTCACTCACTTGTATTAAACATAAACTTGATATCAGCCTATTAATGTCCCACTGCTGGGGCACTGGCCTTCCACATGGGCGAAAGGGTCATGACCCACCACGCGGGCTGAGTGCAATACAATATATAGGTATATTTATGTAGAAATACTTATTTTACATATATGACTGAAGTATAAATGCTCGTATTCATCACACAAACATCTGCCCTCACCGGGATTCGAACCCAGGACCTCTCGAGGAACGTTTGTACGCCGGGTTTCAAAGTGACCACTCAGCCACGGAGGTCGTCGTCTCTGATAAGGCTAAAAGCCAGAAATGATGCAAAGTTAGTATTTCCGGTGTTCCCCTTTGAGTTACCTGGACGCGTGTGATATTTACTATTAATCATCAGCCCATTAATGTTCTCACTGATGGGGCACATGGATGGGCGGACTATTCGGAAACGGATACCGCCACATCACTCGCACTACCGGTGCGCACTAGGAGGGACCGCGGTCCCTCATAATGCGCGCCGGGTGACCGGTGCAGGAGTATTGTCTAGTTTTTACGGTCGCCCTTGTGGCGGTCGCGTTCTTGGCGAGGTAGGGCCCCGTTTGCTTCTCGGAGCACTTGTGTTCCCTGAAGCGGCGGAGAGTAGTCCCCGATAGCTTCGTCCGCAACCCTCGGTTGGCGAAGTAAGCGTAATGCATTTTCTAGACATAAAAATAAAAAGGCCCTCCCTCAGAACTATTTCGTCTTAAGGGAAGGTAGGGCCTGGTGCGGTTTTCCACATAACATCTGCAGATGCAGCCGAGACCAACGGCTTCGCGTGCTTTCCGAAGCACATTATAACAAGCCGTTGTTAAAGTTTCTTAGCAGTAGCTAGCGCGTTTGGTCTACGAACGTGGAGGTTAAAGAAATTTCTTAAAGGCTGGTTTTCGGATGAGAAAGCCCATTACCTTCCCTTAAGACGAAATAGTTCTGAGGGAGGGCCTGAGCCCCATCAGTGAGAACATTAATGGGCTGATGATGTATTCTATCCGTTACCCTAGTATCCCCTAACACAAGCCTGCAGTGCTTACTTTGGGGCTATGCTAATTGGTGTGAGTGTTGTTGGAATTCCATTATCAAAGACAGCCTCGCTTCGCTCGGTCGGCATTATCTGTCATTTGCCGACTTCTCTACTCCATCGTTAATCTTATAACTGCGAACATCTACCGAGGTTGTGACCGATAAAGACTATATTTAAAGATAGTAACGTAAATTACAATATATGTAGTGGTTCAGGTTAAGCAAACCCAACTGGATAAAACTCCAATTAAAATCTCCCTATTCCATGAGTCATATATTATACCTCTCTACCTCAAAGACGATGAAAGTGACTTTCTGGTGGTGTTGTAGGTTAATCAGTGATTCAGGTTCCAGGGCTCCACAGATACTCTGATTTCGCAAACGTCCACAGGCTATGGTGACAGCTTACCATCAGGCGGGAAATACGGTTGTTATCACACATTATACGTAAAAAGACGGAAAAACGCGAGTCGGACACGCGAGGCAAACGACATAAACTGCTGTATAATTTTTTCGCATCAAATTCAAAATTTGATTTTTTCACACTTTCAAGGGACTTGATAATTGAATTGAATTATGGTATGATTTCAACTGGAGTATTGTGTGTATCTCCGCACGTTTCTGAGATAAAAAGTCTTGACAGAATGGACAACAAAGTGATCCTATAAGGGTTACGGTTTTTTCTTTGAGGTATGTGGAACCCTAAAAATGTTCAAATATTTAATTAAGTTATACAACCATATTTAAGCATTGCAAGCAACAAACCTTACCCACCAAAGCTGCAGCCCGTGTGGTCGGTATCCCCAGGAAGTAGCAAGCTTCAGATGCTACCATCTCCCTGATTGAAGACCGTAGGACAGCACGTCCATCGCCGAAACGAGAGTACGGGGTCTCACCAGAGCCTTTCAGTTGGGGTTGCCAGGATTCACCCTTGCTAAATAATTCATTCTTTAAAGAAAACTTTTACTAGAAAACAAAAAACTCAGTCCAAGTGTTATGCAGGACGACATGCCCCCCTAGCATCACAATATGCTATATAACTCGTTTTTATCACGCACAATTGTCAAATTACTGAATTGAGGTGCTCATGCTATGGGGACAGACCCTTTAGCATGAGCAACACAACTTACAATATATCACGTTTTTTATCGAGTCTAACTGTCAAACTCCATAGTAATTTGACAATTGAGCGTGATAAAAACGAGTTATATATAATATCGCGGTGCACATGCTAGGGGGGGCTGCCCCTCTAGCATGACCACCAAAACGGGATATGATAAAGCGATATATCGATATGAACTGTCATGTCAGATTATTGTCTAACTCCACTGTAGTCTGACAGTTAATGCCGATATATCACTTTATCATATCCCGTTTCGGTGGTCATGCTAGAGGGGCTGGAGTCAGTGGATTTTTTTCTAGTAAAGTTTTATTAAGATTTTGAATGGAGCAATATAGTACTTCAAATTAATATCAATTGAAGATCAATTGTGCCTGAAATTTGTTCAGGCAAATCTGCTCAGTCATTCTAACTTAATAATTTAACATCCAAAGAGTAGCTTAACATTAACTGGCTGATTGTGATTTCTGTTTGTCAGAAAAACATACTTTCTATTTCACCTGTTTACATATTCGCCAAGAATGTGAGCTCTTCCATCACCCAACTGATCTGCCCAAAAGCCAAACTGGTAACCTCCATATCTGAAATGTATTTCAAGCTATATGAATGTTTAACAAATTTTCTTGCAGGTTTATTAAAATATTGATTATTCAATAATAAATGAAACAACATATTTACTTTGTTTCCTTCCCAGTGGATGTTAAAGTTATAGCCTGCAAGGTGGGTCATGGCCCAATCTCCCTATTCAAGCATATTCAAACATTCAATAATAAATGAATTATTTATTGTTAGCACCCACCAATCGGCATCTTTCTATACACATTACACAATCTAAACATTCAATATAATTTGAACTCCAACAATTAACAGTAATAAGAGTGACTAGCATATTCTTTATGATATTACCTATGAGAAACACTCAAGCCCCCTTTGGGTAAATATTTCCCAGCCACAAAGTCAATGAACTCTTCTGTCTCAGCAACTGCTGGGTCTAAGTCCAGTACATTTGTTAAGCAGTCTTCTGATGCACACACAAGGTGTAGTTTACCTTGCAATGGTTCTGTTGGTACCTGGAAGTCAAAAAATTTAGTAGGTAGGAATCATAAAATATTGGTTTGAAATTAAATTACATTTTGGGTACAGGATTATTAATAAGAAATAAATAATACACCATATTCCTTTTGTTACTATTGCAAACACCGAGGAACTTATATTTTTTGTGTAGCTCAAAATTCGCTTACAATCAAAGTTTTTCTTTATTATTTACACAATGTTTATGTAGTTATTCACAATTTTAGGAAAACTAAGTTTCAAAATAATATTTAGAAAGTAACAAAATACTAACAATCCAAATTACTTATAATAATAACCTAGATGGATTAACTTATTGCACAATAATTATCAACTTGTCATCGTTAAGCATTCAAGAGTGGCTGGTGTGTGTGTGTAACTATTTTCGCAACTACAATTTCATTTTACTTTAAGTTAACTGTTCAGTTAAAGAACTGGTTAGGTAGAAACCATTTGATGTTAGCCAAAATTAGGTCATAATTTGATAGTGACAATAACGATCCATGTGAGGCCTGTTAAAGTTATAGTAAATTTTACTTTAACTAGCCATGGTGCAACTCACACTAAAGGTTCAAACAAAATTATTTAGTAGATCAGGTAAACTTCATTAATGTTTGATTTGTGAGTCTTGTTATGTAAAAAATGAGTTTATATGTTAAGTTTACGTGATACCTTAGAAAACACAGCATTTTTTACGGCCATCGGCACATTGTACTCGGGATTTTTATCTATAGGAAGCTCTGAATAAACAGGGGGCTCCTTAAATTTCCAGTCTTTCATGTCACTTAACAATTTCATCTTGCTGATAATCTGTTTCTGCTCGGAGATAACCGTAAATACGCAAAACAATCTCTTCATGAATCTAGAGGGGATATACAAAAACTATGTTCAACCAATTAACTATGCTTTTTATATTAATTTATTATTAACGCAACCACTGAGCAAGTAAACACTCCGTGTTAGCGCAACTATAGTTTTGTTTTGATTGAGATTTCAGAAAATTTTCATATTCATTCTTATGTCTCTAATACAAAACGCAAATACAATATTTGTCCGTAACTACCAAGAATTAAAGTTTATTTTGCTTTGGTAAAATCAATCAGAAACTGATTCTGATTTATCTGTCAATGTCAATGTTCAGTGCTGTGATTATCTGTCAATGTCAACTGCGGACTGCGTTCCAAACCTATCACCATGTGCAACAATGTCAAAGTTAACATATGTTTCATACATTTTATAGACATTTTATGTCAAAATAGAAACATCAGGGTAAATAGTTGCACTTAGAGCGTACCTCGAGCGTACCTAGGTTTAAAACGCAGCTGTCCGACTGCAGTTGTCAATGTCAATTCCCTTTTAAAATCTGTGAAAGACTATGAAAACTAAGCCAAGACAGCGTTAGTTTTTAATCTTCTTTTTAACGCACAAGGAATGGTATGAAAATCACTTGGTTACGCATTATTGAGTACTAGTAATCCGCGCCGGCTTTTCATCAGTGAACTTCATTTTAACACGATGAAATGCCTAATGTTACTCAGGGATAATGTATTATAGATCCGCATAGTGCAAAGGTACAACGGTTAAAATTGATCTTCCTCCATCTTTCACTATATCATCAAGAGGACTGTTATGGGTACACAGGAAAGTAAGTGGTACAGATGGCATCTTAAATGCCATCTATTGAAGTCAGCGTCAGGTAGTATGTAAATCACTAACAGTTTCAATAGAGTCGTTATATTATATTTTATGTAGTTTCAATTCTCTAATCATTAGTAAAAGTTTCAGAGGAAGTTCCATAAACAACATGATGTATGGTAGTAATTGGAGAATTTATTATAGGTATAATTTATTTTAAGTTGAACAGCTAATTTTCAAAGCATACGCCCACTGTGGTGGCTGTGCAGAAAAGCCACGCTTCTCCGCTTCAAATTGAACTTCGTATGGGTGCCTCAACACTTCAAGTAGAAAACGAACCTATAGAACAAAAAAAAGCTTTAATAAAATAGATCACTTTTATACAAAAGAAAGACGACCTAAATTAATGCATAAGGGGCAACAAAACAAGCCCGCTACTAGAAATGACGCATTTAAAAAAACAGCTACTGTGAATTGGCAAAATATACTATTTCAATGTCATTTGCTCAAATAATTCCAGTGCATGCAAAAAAATATAAGGTTAGTGGCTTTTAATATTGTCGGTGCGGAATACTGTAACAATCTGCTTGTCGTATGTAGGTCTAGGAACAGCAGACAGTTTTATACTAAGGCAGGTAGGCAACTACTTTCGAATAATATATTTTATAATAACTTTTCGAAAATCGTCCTTCTCGGCATCGACAATTGCTTCTTCGAGGAGCCAGTTGCGAGGTATGTACACGGGATTAACGCTCAGCATGCGACGACGCCTCTCGTCTTCGAATATGCCAACTGTACTTGCGTCCACTAGATTAAAAATAATTTGGTGGCATTGTAACAATAATTCTGATGAAAAAACATAGTGTAGCGAAGCAAATAAGTTAGTCATTATTTCCTAAATTCACACTGGGCCTGATTCTGAAATAATTCACTAAATTTAAATCTTTCCCTTACGTTTTATATATATCATGATTGATATGGCTACACCGCTGTAATTATTTCATGTGTACGCCCCTACATGCCTACGCATTCAAAGGCATAATATCTCCGACTTGAAGCTCGATGGCGCAAGTGGTTAGCGCACCCTTTCGGTCTGCGATCATGGAAGTTAAGAAACGGTCTACAACTGGTGACCAAAAACATTATCTCGATCTCCTCTGTGTTTCGGAGGATACGTTAGCCATTGCTCCCGGCTGCATCTGCAGTCGTTAGTACTGTCAAACCCTGGTTTGAGAGAGTGATGGAGCCTGCTCAATCTCCCTATTCCACAATAGAGAAGGCCTGTGCCCCTGCAGTGGGGACATTAAATAATCTAATGATGATGCCTACCTGTGTTTTGATTGAACTAACCAGCTTCCTTATCCAGCCTCTCGCGATATTGATCCAGCCAGCACCCCCACGAAGAATGTGAGGCCAATCTTTTGAGAGACCATTTCTCTTCTAACTTCACTTCGCTAACCATTTCGCATGGCTCCAGCTGGGTAGCGACGAAAAAAATATAAAGCCATTTATTGCGCTTTTAATGAACTCCACATGCTACACTTTCTCCTTCATGATACTCAAAAAAGTATACCTAATCAAAAACCTTTCATTCCCATACATACTTGTGAGTATATGTGTATATTATGATAAGAAAGGTAGGGCACAGCGAATTTTTCTGCTTGAATCGAAGCGCTCGTCTGGAGAAGCAACTGCCGCCTTACAATTAAATAACACAACCTTTTGGTGTTGTTGTGTTTCTGTTCTGTTGGTGAGTAGGATTCCAGGGCCAGGGCTCCACGGGGTAGGGGATTGGGTGCAGGTCGACAAGTTGAGGATGACTGGAGCGGCACACTTTTTGCCGCATCGTCTACCTTCGCGACTGGACTCCACCTACTCTAAACATCAGGTGGGGTAAGGTAATTTGGTGCGCCTCGTGTAAAAAAATAATAATGTATATTTATATTCGAAGATAAAATATATCATTCAGCTTATAAACCTCGGCAAGCTGGCGAAATGTTGACGTGAAATCAGCTCCAGTCTGCTGCATCATATCCAGTAGTTTTTCAATTAGTTGTTCATCACCCCAGCGCTCTTCTTTCAATCCAACCTTCATTAGAAATGTTTCTCTGAAACACCATTGAAAATACCTTAATGTCGCAACGTTAATAATATCGCTATGGTATCATAATGAGATAGAAACTAGTAGTAGAGTAAAATTACTCAAGCAGGGATCTTAGAGTTTACTCTAGCGCGGCAGTATAACATAATAGGCAAGGAGCAACCTTGCACCTCTTGTAGCTATTCAAAATACTGACGATTTTGAATCGACCAAAAGTCATGGTCGTTTGGGCTCTCCTATTATAGCTCGTTGTTTCTTTTTTTTCTATTGCGTGTCAGACAATCAACAGGATATCTCAAAATTTCCTTTATTAAGATCGATGCATATATAACAGAGCAGCACTAATGATGAATGAACGGATGAGAAGAAATAGATAGTGAAACTAACAATATTTTATTTTTGCAATAAGTATCCAAAGTTTTCAGAATGTGCGACATATGAACTTGTTGTGAAGAACTTAGCAGAGGTTTTAAAGCAGTCGCAAGCTGTCCTATATTCCATACCACTACCTAAAATACAAAATAAAACCATAATATCATGCTCCACATCACACATTTCCCATGAAAGGCTAAAGGCAACTAAACAAGTTGTACGAAAATCGTAATCCTTACATCTGGCTGTTTTGCTAGAGCATATCGTCCTTCCCCATCAGAGCAATTAGCCACGAAACCACCATCATATGAGTCGACAAAACCAAACGGACCAAAATTTAAAGTAACACCCAGAAGGCTCATGTTGTCCGTATTCAGGAGGCCATGTGTGAAACCTAATCCTGTTAAAACAAAGCATGGTGGTTTGAGCAGGCATAACACTGAGGAAGAAAAGTTAGAGACTAAGAAAATTCACCTTGCCATTTCGCTACAAGATCCAAAGTGCGATGTGCTATTTCGGAGAACAACCTGATAAAGCGATTTTCATCTGTCAAATGGATGTCAGGGAAATATTCCTGTAAACAGAAACGAAGTGAATAAAATATATAGTTCCAATAAAGTCCAGTAAAAAATATTTATTAAGAATACAATTTCTGCAACAGTTCTTACTTTTATGACAAAATCTGCAAGTTGCCTTAACACAGTAACCTCTCCAGTCCTGGACAATATCTCGAAAGATCCGAAGCGAAACCAGCTTGGTGACATGCGAAGTAACACAGCCGCTCTTTCACGACGAGGGTTACCGGTGTAGTACATGTCTCGTACCACGGTTTCTTCACTCACTGTATAATTCAATCAAAGAATTGGTGTAAAAATAAGGCACCAATGCTCGCATCTATCTTTTTTTATCGTAATATAAAGATTTGCTCCACTGAGATTCGAACTCAGGAGTAGGTGACATTTTGAAAACAGGCGTATAAACCACTCGTCGTCATAAATAAATCCAGGAAGGAGAAAAAAACCCAAATACCGCAGCTGTGTCGATTGTACGCAACCGCTGCTTATGCAAGTTACGGTTGCACCTACAGAACACAGAAACTGTGTTCCGTGGTTGCAAATCATCCCAGGCTCAACAGTCTCGTAGGTACCTTACCTATGAACCCACGTCTGAGCTTTGTTTTGCAGGTGCTACCCATCACAGGCTCAACAGACTCGTAGGTACCTTAGGAATGAACCCACATCCGAGAAGTATGAGCGGCTTTATAACCTCGCTATATAACATTATTGTGACATAAGATGGCTGGTGTGGCAGGTAGAACTGCTGTACCACCTATTTCCGCGTCTGGAGTCCAGACTCTTGACACCATCGTCACTTAACATCAGGTGGGGTGTAGTCATTTGTCGGACCTATTTAGCGTTTAATATGGTACCGCACTTTAAAGCAGTATATGTACATATCTATCTACACGAGTTAACTAGTGTTGTAACGAGTAAAACTATTGATCTCACCAACTAATCCAGCTGATCTTGTTGTTGGTATCCCAAGGAAATGGCAAGCTTCTGACGCAATCATCTCCCTGATCATTGACCTCAGTACAGCTCGACCATCATGCACTCTAGAATAAGAAGTTTGTCCTGATCCCTTGAGCTGTATTTGCCATCTATCACCATGTCTGGTAAAAAATCATTCATTTCATTAGAATACCTTACTTTTCCAATATTAATGAAGTAAAGAGCTGTCTTCATCAGACTTCAACAGCGAGTAATATAGTAAACAGTTTTTACCTGTTCACATATTCGCCTAGAATATGAGCCCTACCGTCTCCTAATTGCCCAACCCATAAGCCAAACTGGTGTCCACCGTATCTGCGAAACCATTATAGCTCGATAAGTACATATTAAGTAAAAAAAAACCGGCCAAGTGCGAGTAGGACTCGCGCACCGAGGGTTCCGTACAAACCTGAATTTTCAAAAAAAATTTTTAGTACATGATGTAACTAAAAATTTACTGTTTTCGCAATTTTTCCTTTATCTGTACTATAAGACGTTACGTCGTCGTCTTCGTACCATATTTCAAGATTCTAAGTTCACGGGACACAAGGTTTTGATTCCTGAGAAAAACGGTCTTGACAGACGGATGGACGGACGGACGGACAACAAAGTGATCGTATAAGGGTTCCGTTTTTTCCTTTTGAGGTACGGAACCCTAACAAGAGTAATGTAGGATACGATCTTGGAGACTTTGTGCTTCCATACCTGTGTGCAACTGGTAACGCTCCGTAGGGTAGTTTGCGACCAGCGATAAATTCCGCAAACTCATCCCGGTTGACTATATCTGGATCCATGTCTAGGATATTTATTAGAGTGTCTTCTGAGTAGCACACGAGATGAATATCGCGTTCGAGAGGCCTTGGGGTCACCTATAAGCAACTTCAGTAACTTTGATTTGATCAGATGCGGCTTTATCTGTGGTGGTTTTCTGTATGCCTACGCAGATTTGGGGAGCCGAGTCTCACTCGCAACCATTACATTTTGATGTTAATGTTTGTACAGGAGCACTACATACAAGGGCTGAGACACCTCTGGATTTGATATGGGGATAGCACAGAGAACAAGGGATAATACTCCAAAAAACTTAGCAATCTCAATTTAGTAACTTTGGAACTTGTTGCATAGAACGTACATTCCAAAGTACTTACCTCGGTAAAGACCACATTTTTTACGTTTGATTTAATTTGATCGTGATTTTCATCAATAGGCAACAATATATATTTGGGATATTGACTAAATCTCCATTCTGTTAAATTCCTTTTCAGAGTGGTGGTTTCTCCTTCCATTACCATGATTTCTAATGATTTTTATTGTGTGAAACTGATTAAAATTAATTTTAAAATGTAGCTCCTTAATTTTGAAGTTGTCACATTCTAATTTAATTAATGACATTTGGTTCCGCTTGAGTCTACTTCATAAATACAAAACTCTGATATGAAATTGAATGGAACAACCTCAAAACATTTCTTTACTTATACTTATACCTATTTATCGAAAAATATTATACATTGCTTTTGAAATTATACCTTTTCATTTACTTTATCAAGTTAAAGCAAATCCTCCTCCTTTAGCAGTTTTGAATTTTTGCGCGCGAATTTACGGAAGTTCTAGTGATGAAACTTATATCCGGTGTGAAATTCGTACGACACATTGCAGCAATTTCAAGTTCACTTTCGCGAATGGGCCACTTTCTCATTTTCTCCTTTCGAAAAAATAATATTTTTGTGTGCAAACTAGTTTTCTGAAATTCCGGTGACAGTGGCAGTGGTCTGTGAACTGTGTGTGATAATCTTAATGATTTTTAATTAACGAATATGGTGTATACGGAAGAATATCTAAAGGAGAAGCTGATAAAGGAATTGGACGCCGTTCACGTCGTAAGTACCTGTCAAAATTTCTCTTGAATACCGCATGTCAGGCCTCATAAATAAATTAGAATTTTTAATGTATTCGTGTCGCAAAAGATTATATTTGTGTGGGAACTGACGTAATGACTAGAAGATCGGACCCAGATAAGTTCAGTGTGACCAAAGATGCTTTGGTCCCGGGCGTTTTCTTTGCTCTACTTGTGCGATGGTGCGTTGCGGCATATCCTTACTCTGGATACAAGAAGCCCCCTATGTACGGGGATTACGAGGCCCAGCGACATTGGCAAGAGATAACGGTGCACACGCCAGCGGCGAAATGGTACCATAACACCAGTCAAAACGATCTAGAATATTGGGGGCTGGATTATCCGCCTTTGACTGCATATCATAGCCTTCTCATGGGCTTAGTTGCTGACTGGCTGGACCCTGAATCTGTTCGACTTTTCGCTTCGAGAGGTTATGAAAGTGAATCCCATAAAATGTTCATGAGGTGGACAGTGTTCCTTAGTGATTTGTACTTTTACATAACTGCTGTTTTGTGCATATGCATAGATGCTGAACGCGTGAAGCAGAAAGATGTTAAATTAGTGTTTAAGAGGACTGATTTGTCATCAATACTGATATTGTTGTATCCAGGTCTGATTCTCATAGATCATGGTCACTTTCAGTACAATTGTGTATCTCTAGGACTGTTTTTGTGGGCTACTTTCTTTATTATAGCGATAGAAAATGACATATTAGCAACAATATTCTTCACCCTAGCATTAAATTATAAGCAAATGGAACTTTACCATGCTTTACCATTTTTTGTTTATTTACTTAGAAAATGTTTTATTGGATTGCCTGCCAAAAGCAAATTGTTTCATTTTATTCTTAGTTTTAACAAGCTAGCTGTGGCTGTGATATCGTGTTTTATCATTATTTGGTTTCCGTTCACTGGTTCATGGAGCAACATTTTTCAAGTGCTGCACAGATTATTCCCTTTAAAGCGGGGAGTGTTTGAAGATAAAGTTTCAAATATATGGTGTTTCATAAATGTGTTCATAAAATTGAAAACATATTACACAAATGAGACCATGGCACAGATGTGTCTATCTATGACGGCTGTGGCATCACTGCCCTCATGCATTGACATGTTTTTCCGTATAAATAAGAAGAAGTTCATTTTATGCCTCATTAATGTTTCTTTAGCATTTTTCCTCTTTTCCTTTCAAGTTCATGAGAAAACGATTTTATTGGCTGCCATTCCTGTAGCATTACATCTTCCAGAGGACCCCTTTATGTGCTTTTGGTTTCTGCTTGTATCAAATTTTAGTATGCTACCTTTGCTTATCAAAGATGGTTTGGTTATGCCATTCGTTGCTACCAATGTAATCTACATTTGTTTTTATAGTATATGTTTAAGATTAGCACATACCAATTCTACAATTTTCTCATTCATGAATGCAAATTTAGTTTATAGAACTATAAGAGACAGAAAAGAAGATACTGTGTTATTAAAACTGCTTAGTACAAGTTTCTTCCTCTCTCTTTTAGGCATGTTCTGGTTGACAATTGGGTCAGTTTTTGTGGAACCTCCGCCACAGTACCCAGATCTATTTCCGTTATTAGTATCCATGTACTCATGTATTCATTTTCTAATGTTTTTCATATATTTCAACTATAAACAAATGTCCATTCCATATTACTTGCCGATGCCAAAGAAGACTAAAACAAATTAGATCTGTAAGCAACTTGCTTGTAAAATTTACAATAATTGTAAAGTTTTAAACATTCCCAATAAACAGTTTTTATAGATTTTACAATGTTTTTTAATGTTGAATAATATTTTTATAATTTAAAGATAATAATGTTAGGTTGTATTACTTATTAAAAAATACTTATTCATAAAGAGGATGAATTCATAATTTTGACATGTATATAAATATTTGAATTAATAAGTTTCTGTTTTCACAAAAATAAATTCAGCATTTCACAAGCAGTGTGTACATTTAAAAATTTATATTATTAATAAATATTACATTAACCTGTAGGGGAATTGAACTGCTGACCTAAGCAATTGTGAGACACACTCGTAGGCCTTACCATTCTATTTAGTCCTTTTTAAGAAGTCATACTTAAAAATTTGATTCCTGATGTCGGATAACAGTTGAAAAGTTATATGTCTTTTAGTAGCTCACATCAGAATCTCTTTGTAGATAGTTGCAAGGCGTTTGTGTAGTCACATTTACGCCAACACGGTTGGTCAGCGTAGTCGCGGACCATGCGTATCGTTAGATAGTAAAATAAATCATAATCATCATCAGCCTATTAATTCCCCAGTAAAGGGGCACAGGCCTTATCTATGAATGGAATAGGGAGACTGGGCTGTAGCTGTAACTACCGTTATCCACGCGGGCCCAGTAAAAAGCGGTGCGTGCTAAATACTACAGATGCAACCGGGACTAACGTGCGTTCCGCCTATTATATTACATCATTGTTTTTTTTTAACATTTAACTGCTAGATGTTTATATCTAAAGAAAAGTTTACTTGAAAAAAATCCACGCCGACCAGGCAACAGAGGGAACAATGCGAAGTCACAATACATACAAGAGCAGTACTTTGACTTCATACTAGCGCCCGAATCGACGCACGCACACAAACAAACGTCATTTACACGGCCGCTAACCATTCTTGGCAAGACAAATCTACGCAGTGGTACGTCGCGCGCCGCCGAGTCTGGTCGATGGCCGAGGTAGGTTAACTGCGCCGCGCCGTCTGCCTCGGTTTCGATTCCGTAACGTGGCAATAGTAACTATACACGTACAATAAAAATCGACACTAATCGATTTTACATTTTGTAGGGACCAACCCTAGCGCTCCGCTCTGTCGTAGATATCTATTTCAAGAAAATGGCTGAGTTACGTTACTGCTTTTGTATGTATTGTGGCGAAATGATGGCGCTGTCTTGCAGCCATAGGGTACGGCCAGAGTGCACTCAGATTCAGATTCCGAAAACAAGCGCGAGAAATAAACAGTGTAGTCGAAGGGTACGGCCAGATTGCACTCCTGATTCAGATTCAGATTAAGACACAGAAACAAGCGCGAGAAAAAGCAGGCAACCTGCTTAGACTTAGGGTTCGAGTCCCGTCTGCTGCCTGGTCCGCGTGCAATTTTTTCTAGTAAACTTTTCTTTAGATTTTAATATTACATCGTCATCAGCCTATTATTTAATGTCCCACTGAACGAGCACAGCCCTTCCCTATGAGTGGAGGTGGTGGAGGGAGACTGGGCCTTAACCACCGTAACCCACCACATGTCCCTGTAGCATGAGCTCCATAATTTACATTATATCACGTTTTTTTTCGCGTCTTATTGTCAAACTCCTAGTTATTTGACAATCAAGCGTGATAAACTCGCGATATATATCATATCGCGGTGCTCATGCTAGGGGGGCAGATGCAGCTGGTACAAACAGCTTAACCTGCCTGCCACAGCTCGCACGAAGGAGCTCGAGATAATATGACCTTTGCGAAAGTTGCTTAATTTTTACGATCGCAGGCCGAATGCGCCAACCACCTGCGCCATTGAGCTCCTCATATGTGCAGTAAAATACTCGTACGTACATGACGAGTTTTGCTTAAGTCGGTCAAAAATTGATCCTCGACAGAAAATCAAGCTTGCATCAACTGTTTTTTTTATAAAGATAGGTCCGACAAATGAGTCCACCTCACCTGATGTTAAGTGATGGTGATGGTTAAGTTGTGATTACGAACCTCGATTACCACTCGCAATAACACTCACTGCAAAACTTGGGTGTTTTCGTAAATATCACATTTTACAACACCCACACACACTATTAGGCAAAGCATATTAGAATTTTTCGTAGAATTAATTTCCAGCAAGCTGGAAATCGCTTTAATGCCTTCGTTTAACCTCACCTAAATATGCATGTAATCCGAGTTTTCCTAATTCTAGCAGGTGAGCATAACTTTTGGCAGCCAAAAAATCGCGATAAGTTTGCTCTTTTTTTTGTTATTTGCCGGTAGCTGGAAAATTTTCAAATAAAACGGCTTCAATTCAAAATCGGTTTTTTCAGTGCGCTAACTCGGATTACATACATTTAGGACCACATGAAAGTATTAAAACGATTTACATACAGCTTGATGGGATGGATATTAATTCCTCAAAACTGTTTTTTTTTTATCTTATTTGCTTGATCTCTAACGGAGTTTTTAATCACCCTTAACCATATAAGGAAATGCGTGCTGAGAATGCAATGTTAACTAAAACCATTTTTTAATAAAACAAATGAGGAGAGCCTGTTCAAAGGCGACTATTTCCGTATTTACTGACTTATAGTTCTTTTTTTGGGAATTCTACTGGTATTCTAGGATCCTATCACAGCCTGTGTTTAGTCTTGATTATTTTGGCATAAAAATAGCTTCCAATTAAAAAAAAATAACTTCAAAAAGTTTATTTGTTGATGCTATTTATTTATCATTCCTGGTCAAAGTATAAGTGCTATTTCCATTTTTAATTACTTAATTTTGTGCTTTTTAATAATAACGATAATAAATAAATTTACCCTAAAAGTAAGTGGCCTGCCTCCTCATGAATTACCTGAATAAAAAAAATACACTTCACATACATCATCAAATCAGCATACGTTTTTTTAATTTTATCAACTATTACTTAGCATGGAAATATCTCCTTTCGAACAGATGCTCTTTAAATGTTTATGCTACATAATTTATCAGTGAAATAGACTCAGACGAGCCAGTCTCATTCAGGCACTCGTGCCTATTGCTAGAATCATCACGTGTTATAAATATTAAGAAGACACTTCAGGAATCAAGACGAGTGTGTGACACGTGCTTGCCCCACGTTCAATAGTGGAAATTACAAGACTGAGGTCTGCCGTAGATTGATGCAATAAAACACTTCGTCTATAACGTAGTGGTATAATAAAAATAAAATACTTATCAATCGAACTTACCCAGATGAATTTAATCACAGTGTTGTCTTAATTCAGCATTAATTCACGAGGAATCTGTGTAATAAAGTTCCCACTACTGCGGGACATTCCCACTACTGAAGAGCTCCGTAGCGCAGCAACTTTCGCAATGGTCAGTCACTGGATGGGTGACCAAAAATTTACTATCTCGACCTCCTCCGTGCTTCGGAAGGCACGTTCAGCCGTTGGTCCCGACTGCATCTGTAGTCGTTAGCGCCCACCAAGCCGCACTGGGCTCGCGTGTTCGGTTCCTTCCTATTTCATCCATAGGGAAGGCCTGTGCTCCGGCAGTAGGGACATTAATAGGCTGTGATAGTGACTGCGGCACGGGCTGTTCCTATTTATGGAATTGAGAGAACGAGCGTGGTCTACACTATGTTAACGAGTGCAGATACAGACATATCTTCCGAACGAATGAGATCGAGATTATAAAGTCCTACGAACTATCCTGTGGTGTTATCCATCTGCGATGGAGATATAGGATCTCTTTAACGTGTATAGCGTTGTCCTGCATGACCCGCATGCTGGATCCAGCAAGATGGATACGTCCACAGGATAGAGGACTTTGCCACGACTTTGCTGTTGTATGATTGGATGATTTTTTTCCCGTTTCTGACTTTTTATTTTAACT